ACCCCCTGACAAAGCTGACCCACTCGCTCCGCTCCCGCACCGATAAAGTCACGCCGTTCCCCGCATCGATGCCCCGACTATTCGCGCACACGCGCGCTTCCCAGGCGGACCCGACTTGCTGCAGTGAGAAATCCGACGTGTGCAGGACGAAGTAGCGCTTGTGTTTGCCGTGGCGCGAGGCGGTTAGACTGGCGGGGGTGATCCAGTGTGTGGCGCGGGCGTACAGGCCGTCGGCTAGGGCTTCGTGGAGCAGGCGGCTGGGGATGTATGGCCGGCATTGGAGGAGGAGTTTGTTGCGCAGCAGGGAGATGGGGATGTCGGGGTGAGGCGGGGGGATTTGCGGGGTGTAGGAGAGGAGAGATTTGTTTGGGTTGGTGGGTGTGCGGGTTGTTGTGCGGGTTGCGGGTTTGGAGATGCGGCCTGTGAGGGTGATGGGCTTGCTGAACTGCTCGTGGTGGGATGTGAGGGTTTGCGTTTGCGTGGGTGCCATTGTGTCGTAGTAGTTGTATGGAATCGCTGAAGTGTGGAAACTGGTGTATCGATCCGTCCAGGAAGTCAAATATGTTCAAAAGCAAGAGTCGGTCAAGCGTGGGAAAAGTTTAAAGTGCGGTCAACCACCCATCTTTAACCAGTGCAGCCTCACCCCCTAATCCGGCATAGCACGCCTCAAAACCCATCACTCGGAAAACTGTCGGTCGTGCGCGTGCAGTTTTGTATTCACTAGCTCGCTGACCCCAGGCGGTCAAAGTGGCAAGTGTAGAAAGATAAGCGAGACGCCGATGCTCACCGCACCGCACGACAGAGACTTCGTTACAGAGACTTCATCAGTAGATAATCTTCAAGTCTCACATGATGGACTGTCGAAGTCGGAAAAGGAGAACAAACGTCGTTAGTTCTACAAGGGGTTTTGAGAAAATGGTGAGACGAACCTTATTGTCGCAGCTCCATTTTTGGATTGACAGTTGAAGCGATCTGCGGCTAGACCCTTATGACGTATATCCTAACTGTGGAGATTGTTACATCCACTCTGCATCACAAGTAAGAGCTTTCTATCAAATCATATTGGTATCATTGTTTTGTTGGTATCTAGGAGAGCGTAGGTAAAGAGGGCGAGAAAGGAGGTTGGGTGTAAGATCAGATAGTGTGTCGAGGGAGGGTGATTATGAAACGTGGGAGTGCAGTATAGGGGTAGGGGCGGTGTCGAGAGGTTGTGTGAGATGATGAGAATGACCTCGTTCTTTCTTCCCGTTCTTCTTCGCCAAACCCGCAAATAAGAAAGTGGACACAGATCTGCTTCGACACCAGCGTGTCGCGAGCAAATGTGCAATCCGGATATCATAGCCGTTAGTCATGACACGTGACCCGCTCAATCTGCTGTCGAATCTCTCGAAAAGACCAGATGGAAAGTAAAAATGCCCCTAAACGACCCATGGTATCCATAAGTAAAGAGCAGAAAGGAAAGCAAGCCTATGCTTTTTGTCGGTCATGGAAGGTATCCGACGCGGGCGCGCTTCGCAAAGACATCGATAATGCAGTGGCTCGACTAAGGCGTCATGCGCTTCGAGCGCTCCCATCCGCAGCAACGCAATCTGACGTTCGTAGCAGCTCAGAAGACCTACTCCTGCGCCTGGCTACGTCGCATCTTCTCGGCCTCGAGATTCTCGTACAACAAGTATAGAGCCTTCTCGTTTGCAGTGGCACTACCAGTGATGGTGAACATGCGTTCGCCAGTGTCGTCGTGAGGAGCCTTGGCGATGGAGATGCGGGCACCAGAAGTCTTGCGAATCTCGCTAATCTTGCTGCCGCCGCGACCGATGATGCAGCCAACCATGTCGGAAGGAATGCTAATGTTCTGCGTCTGTAGCTCGACACCATCCTCGTCGTGGGTGGGAGGGGGAGGCCGGCTGGCGGCATCTGAACCAGATCGACGAGAGTACGACGTGGGCGCCGAATCACTGAAGTCGGCTCCGTTGCCAGTGCGGTTGTACGAGCGACCGCCCATTCCTCCTGCAGTGGCGCCACCGTTGGACAGAGGACCAGGCCCAGCTGCCAGGCTGAACCCTTACAGCAGGATTGTAGAGAACGGTGCCGTATCCACGCTCGTGATCGTCGATGAGGCACTTGCCAATCTCCCAAATAGCCTTTTCGATGCTGGATGGGGAGCCTTGTACCTCGACGATGCGCTCGGTCGACTGCGGGAGCATCTCCTTCTGTGCGACCATGCGAACGCCAGATGCGTCCTGAATCTGCTTGATCTTCAGACCCTGGCGTCCGATGATGGTTCCCATCTGGTTGTGCGAGATCAGCAGACGGATGGCTGTCACTGTTAGCTTGCGCTCTGTATTGGGCGCCGTGCGGTTTGCGCCGCAGCGGCGCCTAGGTGGGCAACATACGGTGGGTGCCATCAGTACGGACGACGCCGCCCATGCCCATTGCAGGGGCGCCATCGAGGAGGCCTTTTGCGACCAGACCGTACGCCTTGGAGATGCCAGACAGGCTGCCAGTGACGGAAAGAACGCGGTCGTGAACGCCCTGGACGACCTTGCTGACGCCCGCGCGCACGCCCGTCTCGTCGCGCAGGTCAGCGACGTTCTTGCCCGCCTTGCCAATGATGACGCCGGCTTCCTTGGAGGAAACAATGGCGCGGAGAGTGAGCTGCGAGTCGGCGTACTCTTGCTCGGTGCGCGGGACTACGTCGGCCTCGCCGTCCATGTTGAGGCGATCAAGCTGCTCGGCGACGCGATTGGCGTCCTGGCCGTTGCCGGGCTGTGACTCTTCGGTGGACATGTTGTAGGAATGGCCTGGAGCGGGCTGCAGGTGGTGTCAGTGACGTAACTTTGCGACACGACCAGCCACATTCACTTACGAGTATCGCAGAAGCTGTGAGTTGTGAAAGGACCTGGGTGGCTCTTCGGGGGAGGGCGGGGGTGAAGGCCTCTACTATATCGCGTCACTGTAAGCTATTGTTGACGTGAAGCAGTGTTGCAGTGTCGGATCAGCGACTCACAGGTGGATACGGAAGTGGCGGGGGAGGTGGTCGGTGCGGAAAGATCCGAGAGGTGAGAGAGACAAGGGAGGAGGGCAAGGGGCGGAGACGGAGAGAGAGAATTGGGGAGCGTGGAGGGAGGACAAGGTGTCGGCACAAGTGGAGTGTGTATGCAGACAATGGTGACAAAGTGCAGCAGGTTCAGGGACTGAGCTGGAGCGGAATATTTGGACAGCACGTTAGCGAGGCAGACGAGCCTTGCCGCATTGAATGGAATGCGCTGATGGGGAAAGAGCTACCGTAGATTGCCTCGTGTAGCAGCTGCATCTCTCCGTCACAGTGGTCACGCTGCATCCATTCAAGGCGTCGCGTTTGATCGATTCCACGTCTTGCTCGCGCCCCAACGCGGGAGACTGCCCCGCGAAGCTATGGCCGACAACAGCCTTGCAGCCACTCGGCGTATCGCGACAATGAGCGCAGACAATCGACGGCCCGATTGCAGGCTGAAGCTGGAGTCGATCATGTGGTGCACGCAAATGCTAAATGCTTGTAGCCAATGGCAACTTTCGAGACTGGTGAGTGCACTGCTACAAACAAACTTTGACTGCAACTCGACATCGACCAACACCGCCCGATGCACCACTCCCTTCAAACGCCTCCTGCCACCCAATGCACCTCTCCTTCCTCAAACGCCTCTTCAATGCTCTCACCCGCAGCCACGTGACATCTACTTCTGCGCCTCAAACACAACCTTCTGCACCTTCATCTTGTCGAATATATCGTACCCTTCCACCGCCTGGCTCAACGGCATGATCTTGTCCGCCATGAATCCCAACTTATCCTGATGTCTCTTCAAGCTCTCCAACGCCTCTTCAAACACACTCCGCACAGGACACCTACCCATCTGCACCCTGATGTTCTTTCCATACCCCTCGTTCCCAGTCCACGGGATCTCGCCATTGTGCACGCCCACACTGCTGATCACACCCCAAGGCCTAACAAGCTCATAGCCCATGCGCAATGCAGGGCTCAGACCAACGACTTCAACAATAACATCTGCACCTCGGCCGTTAGTGAGTTCCTTGACACGCGCATCGAGTCCGGCGCGGTCGGTCTGGAAGTTCCAAGGCTCTGCGCCGAGGGACTTTGCAAGCTCGAGGCGCGAGGGCACGGAGTCGACGGCGAGGATGTGTTTTGGACCAATGTCGAGGAGGTTGACGAGGGCGCAGAGAGCGACGGGGCCGCATCCGATCAATACCACGACTGCGTCCTTGGCTTCTTCAGGAGTGGAGTGGCGGAAGCCGTTCTTGGCGGCGAACATGCCTGGGAGGTTTTAGTAATGTGATTTGAACTCATGGTGCGACAATTTGAGTACCAGTAGGGAAGATATCTGCCATCAGAACTAGAGCTTCGTCTTTGATGCCCGGTGGTGCTTTGACGGCTGTCGAGTCCGCAAGGGGGACCCGTACATACTCGGCCTGGCCACCGTCGAGAGGCACACTGCCGAACAGCTGCACCTTCTCGCATCTAGATGAAAACCCACGGGTGCAGTAGAAGCATGCTCCACAAGCGGTTGTGAAGGGCGAAACGACGTGGTCTCCAACTTTCAGATTCTTGACAGCCGATCCGACTTCATGGACGTGGCCGGTGAACTCGTGACCCATGACGAAGTCCGTGTCTGATGGCTGGTGGCCACGGAAAACATGGAGTTCACTAGACATATGTTTAGAATTGATTGGTACATCGAGTGATTTCAGGCGCACCTTCCACATAAAGCGGTCTACGATGCGTTAGCTTCTGAACACAAATGAAGCACGGCTAATGATACCTTGTCAACTTTGACGATAATGTCAGTCTGGTCTTTGATTTTTGGAATTGGGCGGTCTTCAATCACAACCTTGCCCGGGCCTTTGAAGACTACTGCTTTCATTGTAGTTTTGCTCATGCTGTTTGTATCAGTGTAATTAGACCAAGATTGTCTGGTATAGCTCAATGACTAAAAGACTGCTGAAGAAGAGATGTGTGATGAAGTGATGTAGTGGAGGCCAGAAGCTATTTTAGGTCCGATATCTGACGACACGAGCCGATTAACGGAAGAGCTCCATGAAGCTTTGAGGAAGCTTGCCCCGCCGAGGCTCGTGTGGGCGGGGTAGTTAGAGTGTCATCACCACCGGAACCATGTAGGCTGCATGCCGAAATCGTGGCACTTGAGAAGTTCAATAATGATAATTATACAAGATATGCAAACCCTGGCATGGAGTCAGTGTTATCCCGCGTCAGAAGTTGTTGCAGCGACTTCCGCACTTGCGCGGAGTCATCTCGCGCGACCTTTCCATGCCTCAAGCCTAATGACATGGATTTATCAGGCCATATGGAAGCCCGAGATCCTGTGATGTGGCGAGCAGTGGTCGTAAGAGGTGAAGAAACCCTGATCCCAACGTACCGGAGCAGTTCCGAAGCCGACGCCCTGCCTGTACGCCCTACCGTCCCATAAATCGTGAAGGGTGTGCCGACCCTAACCGCGCTGTGTAGATTCCATGATTGCGCCATCAAAATGCATATTCAAATTGTCCATCCCTCGCCCAACATGACGCTGCACTCATGACACGGTGCAGAGCAGCTCACCCTCCAGGATGAACTTGCCCTCCTTGTACTTCTCGCTTGCCTCATAAGCTTTGTCGTACTTCCAGCCAACAGTCTCCTTGCACTGCCTGCAGTGGATGTCGCGCACGATGTGGCGACCGGTCGTCATGTTGCGCTCGTTGGGCTCGGACTCGGTGACGTTGACGACGTTGTCGAATAGATATGCTTTGCCGTGCTGACCGCGGAAGTTCTACTGCTGTCAGTACGCGGACTAGAGAGGTGTAGCGGTAGGATTAGGACGAACCCTGCTGATAATGTCATCGTGGTTTGACAAATGTGTCTTGCAGTTCTTGCATCCATAGATCTTGGACGAGTTCAGGTAGATGTTGTATGAGAGGCCCATTTTTGCTCTGAGAAGCTGATTCAGGACGTGTTTGGTGAAGGTGATGCGATGTTCTGAAGTACTTCACAGAAGGGTGTTGCTGCTGTGGGCGGACGAGGTGCTAAGTGTCGCTGGTCACAAGATGCTGCTGATCAAACGCTGAGATGACGTATCACGTGAAGTGTCGCAAAACGGAGGTTGAATTGCACGTCGTCGCGCAATGTCTACGCTCTCCGGCTAATCCGATACGTTGTCAAGGGAGAGGGGAGCTCAAGCTGGGGATGCGGGAGCCTGGAGAGGACCGTGAGCACGAGCCAACGCGATTGCAGCAATGACGACGAGGGGTACCTGACTAACCGTCCGACCGCATCCCTTCACCGAGGAAAACCAATCTTGAATATATGCCTGCGTTCAAACGTCTTGAACGGCTTGATTGTCTTGAGCCATGTCGGTCGCTGTGCAGCTGACCGTGTAAGCATGAGCCTGCTGACCAAGATTGAGCAACACCATGACAAGCTGGTAAGTCACTCCTTCCGGGATGCATTTCTCCTTGGAGAGGAACATGAAGCGGACTCTCTGAAACATTTATCCGCTCGACGTTGCCAAGTTGCAGCACTGTGATGCAAGGAACGCTGTGATTGGTCAAACACAACTGCGCACTGCCACATGCGGTAATTCATTTGTCGATGTCACCATCAAAATGTCTAACATGCTCAACGTCCAGCCACCACTTTACAGAATGAAGTCCATGGGCAGCGTCTCGACTAATCGCAATGCATGTTCATGGCTATCAGACTGCAGTGGTAAACCTCTTCTGCAGCTAAGCATGCGTTGTCCTGCAGCCGCAAAGAAGGCCGTTTTGGATTGGCACACAAAGAAGAGGCTGGTTGCTAAGAGGAACAGCACACCACAGCAACGCGCAAAGCTGACAACGAGCATTGGCATTGAGCAGGCTGTGCTGTTCTTGCATGTTGTTATTGGCGATCTGTTGACGCTGCAGATCCCAACCTCGGTGATTGAAATTAATGAGTCGGAGAGGATTCAGTTCTCCGAGCGGAGGATTACTCACGTACATATCAGAGCCAATGGATGGTATCAACAGACGTCTGGAGGGGAAACGCAGGCGCCAGAGCGGATTTACTCGAGATATCAGAACCATCTGCACCAATACAGCCATGATAGCCCAGAAGTGCATTTGTGATTGGCGTTTTGGCGACGTCTGACTATCTGCGCCCCAGCCTTCCCCTGCGGGCCTGCACGTCGGCTGCGGCTTGACTCTGTGGCACTTCATTAGCGGGCGTACCCTCGCTCATAGAAGCTTCTAGCAACAATTTTAGGGCAGCTCAACTTTTTGTCTGGTGCCGACCCTCAACCAAAAGTTGCTGCAGCGAACCAAATTCCGTTACACAGTAGGCCGCTATCCTTTGGACTCCGCCTCCATGGTTCTTCCCTCTCTCTTCACCAAATCGTCCAAGAAGTCCAAAAGCCACACGGTCCCTAATCTTGCGCCCCCAAAGCCAGCAAGCAGCAGCAATCCGGGCACCCCTCCCTTGTCGCCCGACAAAACCTCGCACTCGCGGGTGAAGGACAGGGAGCGCACTAGCAGCCGCCGCTCCAGCTCTTACTCGTCGCGCCGCTCGTCCAAGTACGACGACGACTCCCACCCGCTTAATCTCCCGCCCGAGCAGCGGAAACGCTTCTCAGCCATGTCCCAGATGGCCGACCAGCCCTCGCCCCAGCCCATGGACATTGACCGGGACGCCTCGTCGTCGCCCGCGCCTGCACCATCGAGCCCGGCGGCCGCACAGGCCCCAAAGGCCAACGGCGTGAACGGCAACGGCAACGGCAACGCCCACGACGACAGCCGCCCAGCTCCCCCTCCGCACAGATACACCACGAGCCCGCCGCCGCAGGGCACAAACTACGCAGCCACGCCCGAGGCGGCAGCAACCCCGCCCGCCGAAATTCCCACCATCGACGCCGAGGAATACAAGGCTGCCGGCAACAAGTTCTTCAAGATCAAGGACTACCCCGCCGCCATCAAGGAGTACTCGAGAGGTGCGTTGTGCTACTGTCGTGTGTAGGCTGCGTGCACTGCACCACCACGCACAAGGTCGAACCCGGGCTAATGAGAGTGCAGCAATCGAGGCCGACCCCAACAATGCCACCTACTACTCGAACCGCGCGGCCGCCTACATATCCGCAAACCGCTTCTACGAGGCCCTGGAGGACTGCAAGATGGCCGACGAGCTCGACCCCGACAACATGAAGATTCTGCTGCGGTTAGGCCGCGTGTACACGAGCCTGGGACGGCCAGACGAGGCTGTGCACGTCTACAACCAGATCAATGCCACGGCCAAGGACATGCAGCCCGCACTGAGCATGCAGAAGCACCTGCGGACGGCCGAGGAAACTTCACGCAAGGAGAACGGCTCCGGCTCAATGGTCATATACGCCCTGAACGAGGCTGAGAAGGGTCTCGGCATTGGCGTCGACAAGCCGCGGAAATGGCAGCTCATGCGCGGCGAGGCACACTTGAAGATGGGCAACCCGAATGCTCTTGGGGAAGCCCAGAACGTGGTCATGTCTATTCTGCGGAACAACAACCAGGACCCGGACGCGCTCGTGCTCCGCGGCCGCATCCTCTACGCCCAGGGCGAGAACGACAAGGCGCTACAGCACTTTAGGCAGGCGCTGAGCTGCGATCCCGACTTCAAGGCTGCGGTCAAGTACTTGCGGATGGTGCAGAAGCTGGAGCGCATGAAGTCGGAGGGCAATGCTTCCTTCAAGGCAGGCAGGTACCAGGAGGCTGTCAACACTTATACCGAGGCGCTTGCCGTAGACCCCTTGAACAAGAACACAAACTCAAAGATTTTGCAGAACCGAGCACTCTGCAACTCGCGGTTAAAGCAATGGAAGGCCGCGGTTGCCGACTGTGACAAGGCGCTCGAGCTCGACCCCAGCTACACCAAGGCGCGGAAGACCAGGGCGAAGGCCCTGGGAGAGTCTGGCAACTGGGAGGAGGCCGTGCGGGAACTCAAGGCCATGTACGAAGCCAACCCCTCCGAGCCCGGTCTCGCCAAGGAGATCCGGGACGCCGAGCTGGAGCTCAAGAAGAGCAAGCGGAAGGACTACTACAAGATTCTCGGGCTCGAGAAGGACTGCACCGAGACGGAGGTCAAGAAGGCATACCGGAAACTGGCCATTGTCCACCACCCCGACAAGAACCCCGGTGACGAAGACGCGGCAGACCGATTCAAGGAGATCCAAGAAGCACACGAGACATTGAGCGATCCGCAGAAGCGTGCACGGTACGACTCTGGCGAGGATCTTGTCGACCCCTCCGACATGTTTGGCGGAGGTGGCGGCGGCGGCGGCTTCGGTGGTGCTGGCGGCATTGATCCCGAGATCTGTGAGTACCCAAGTACTGCCATTGGAGAAGCCCAAGCTAACGTATATCCTAGTAATGCAAATGTTCGGCGGCGGCATGGGAGGTATGGGCGGCGGCGGCCGAGGCGGTGGAGGAGGCTTCCACTTCGCGAGCGGTGGCGGCGGCAGTCCCTTTGGCGGTATGGGCGGCATGCCCGGCGGCCAACGAAGAGGCCAAGGACCTCCCGGCGGCTTCCCCTTCTAAACTCCAGCCCTCCCATTCGACCACACCCCCATCTTCGTGTCAATACTACAGCAAGGCCTTCTCCTTCACATTTCCACGTACGTACGGCGTTGGGTACAGGTACCGCGCGAGCAAAAACGAGTAGAGTGCTCGCGAGCCTCGCAGAGATATTTAGAGCACGTAGCGTTGATCAGCATTGGAAGGCGTCTTTCATTCTTATTGCTGGGATGATGGCATGTAGAACTATTTTCAACACACTTGCGAAGCCGAAAAGAAGGCGAGCTGATGTAATATATTTTGCATTGATGTATGATTTGGAAGTGCTTGTGATGAACATGTGACAGACATGTGGAGTGGGAAGGGGTTATATATATAAACTTCGCCTTCGCCTTCTTTCGACATTCTTTTATCTTCATTTCTTGGGCTTCCTTTTCGAAAAATTAATGATCAAGGCAGCTGAGAATGAGCACTGTGCCAAAGTCATCATCGAACAGCTTCATGTTTGTTCCCTGTCCGAAAAGATCTGCGCTCAGACACCATGTCTGCGCAGTCGCTCTTCCCATACAAGCACATCGTTCTCCGCCCACATCTCATCCCCGCTATAAATCTCTTCTTTCCCCGAAATCAGCGAAATAGGTACTACGTGAGTGTCCGACTTCAAAACTACAGGACAGATTCTCATGTTTCTTCGTAGCCAAAACTTGTAAACATCCGATAAATGTGTCTGCGTACCTGTCTTCACGTATAAGAGCACATCTTCATCGTCTCCAACACCACCATTATGCCACGCATCTTCTTTCTCTAAAACTTGTCAACGAATCAGTCATGAGCGACGTGACCAGAAACCGCCCCGATCCTGTACCAATATCTGCCTCTTCAAAAGGCCTTTCGGAAGAGCTTTATGGCTGCGGCCTCGCCTTCTTGCAAAAAGCCGCATTTCTTTCTGCACCGGCTTCCTTGTTGGGCATGACCTGTTTCTTTTCTCCAAAGACATGGATGCAGAAGTCTGATGACCCACCTGGCCAAACAAAAACCTAGAGGACGATGCCATGTTTGCTCGTCTCCAAAATGCGGCGAAATTCTCTTTGATGACTGCGCTTTCGCGTTTCTCACCGGGGAATGAAATCACACACACACCCTGCTCCTGCTATGACTTCTGCGACATACCATGCAGCCATCTCTCCAAAAACTATGCATCAAGACTGCCGTGACTGACCTGATCAGAAAAGACTGCAGAAGATAGCATGTCTGCTTCTCTCTAAACGATGGCCAAATTCAGCCGTATACTTATGTCCGCGCTTTCATTGTATAAAAACATGCATTTTTCTCTGCCTTGTCGACGGCATTACTTATCAACTCTCCCATCTTCAAAAGACAAGAGTGGAGTGATATATGAGCGACTCGACTATAAAGACGAGGTTCTGCACCTCATGTGTGCCCTTCTTCGAAAAGTCTATAAACCCAGTTTCATGGCTGCGCCCTCACTTTACCTGTATAAAAGCCCATCTCCTTTTTGCGTTATCAACGTCATCACACCACGGATCTTCTATCTCCAAAAGAAGACAACATTGATTTCATGAGCCCACTCTGAAAAACCATTCCCGATCATTATATGTCTGCTCGTGCGCAAAAGACCTGAGCTTTCAGCCACATGAATGCGTGGGCGTTTCGTTGCATTAAAGCAAGTCCATCTCCTCAATAAAACTGTTACTACAAACACCTCTTTCTTTTCTCCCAAAGTATCGTTGTCGAAGTCGCATGTGCGGCCTGGCTTCTCCTCTTCTTCTTCCAAAAGAGGGAAATTGGACTATATGAGCGCTCTCAGGTAAAAGAAAAGACTAGAAAGCGTACCTATGTCTGCTCCTGACTCAAAAACCCGGGAAGATCACATCATGTTTGCGACTGTGGTAGAAATTTAATCATCTTCTCCTTTTCTGCGTACGCCTAGCTTATTAGAAACGCCCTCTTATTTCCTTTGAAAGACAGGGAAGGATGACTCAAATGATCTCCTTTTCCCAGAAATAACAACAGAAGAGCCTCCATCCATGTCTCCTCCGGTCGAAAAATCTCTAAATCGCGTTGGATGCAATAACAGATCGTCGGAGCATCTCAGATATCTTCCCATTTTTACAATCTCCTTATTCTCGACTCGCAAATAAGCGAGACAAGGACACATGATCTATTCTCATGTTCTGGCGCGGATCAAGCAGAGATATATAGAGCTCTAGCCTGTCTTTGCTGTTCTCTTCTAAATAAGAATACCACACTTTACGCTTCAATCTTTCCAAAATGCAATTCGAGGTCATCGATGTCCGTCTCAAAATCCGTCGCGGCTTCGATAATATTCTTCTGTGCGAGTGAGATGTCGAGAAATCGAGTTGAAGGAATTCTATGGGAGATTGCCAAAAGCAAAAGCGGGAGTTCCTTTGTCGTCTTCCCTGGGCGCGGCTGCACGAGCCAGCGCACCTCTATAAACATGAAAACACTGAGCATATGAGATCGTGCTTGGAGAGCACTGATATGCATTCATGTCATTCTGTCGTTCCACTGGACTGAGTTTAGGCGTTTTGCGAATAGAGAGATAGGTGTATATATACCTGCTTGCTTCCCCGAATCTCTTCTCTTAATCAAGGGTGTGTTCTACGTCCCTGAACTCCGAAATCTCGAGATGTCCAGAGATATGTCTGATTAAATTAACCTTGGGCAAGAATTATGTCTTTGTCCAGTGTGAATGTGCTTTAAAATGCAGAATTAGGCAATGTTATTAGATTACGCTAACAGTGCTCTGCGATAAACCTATATCAGTCTGCTGTTTGTTTGGTTCTCTTAATCGAAGGATTGATGGGCGGGTGTGTACATCTCTCCTCTCTCTGTCTCTCTCTTCCACCGCAACCAAAAAAACCCATTTCACTTCCATTGAATGACCAGCACCACCCTTTTCAAACCATTTGCATTTGCATACGTTCGTGGATGTGTACAACATATATCATCTCATAACAGTCATAATTACATACCATACATAAGATTATATATACCCTCAAAGATTCGTACAAAGGTCGTTTTTGGACACAAACACTACCACATATCAGAGTCGAGAATGTTTGCACAGCTCCCACGTTCCCTCTCACCCCTCCCTCCTTCCCACCTTTACTACCTCCCCCCATTCATATTATTCTGATTAAACTCACTCGTCCCATGTCCACTATTCCCATAATCCGGCATGACGCCATTCATGCTGATCCCATCTTCATAGCCACTATAGCCCGTCATGTCCGCCCAATCCCACTCGAGCGTCATGGGCATTTTCCACAGATCCTGGGGCACGTTGTTGAACGTCTGGTCGAACTGGCCCATGTTCATGAGGTTGTTGATGCCGTTGGACTCCATGGTGGTGGTGTTGGGGAGGCCGTTGGGTTGGGATTGCGAGTTTGAAAGCATTTGCGTGGATATCCCGGGGGAGCCGAATTGGTTTAGTTGCGGGGCGGATTGGAGGGAGGCGTGTGTGAAGTTGGGGGAGAAGGGGAAGGGCTAGAGGGACTATCAGTTTGGACTTGTTCACGTCATGCTGTCTGACTTACCTCGTTGAAGCCGTGGAAGTCGGGGTTGAAAATCAAGCCTTCCGACGCGTTGTTCTGCGGTGTTGTTGCAGCCGCGGCGCTGGCGGCAGGCGAAGATTGCGAGCCGTTCCGTCCAGTTGATAAGAGTTCCGCTGCTGTTGCTTCAATCTGTGCATCTTGCTCAGAATCACCCTGCTTCCTCTTTCGTCTTGAGGCGTGTTCGCGGTCGGCCTTCTCTAGTACTGCTCCTGCAATGCGCTCGAACTCGGCACAGACGCTGCACATGCGCTTGACACTTCCACTGCCTTGGTCGTCATTTAACATGTTGAGGAAGTTGACGACCAGCTTCATAAGCTTCAGATCCGATTTTGATCGCGTGTCTTGTGGGTTCTGGAGGATATTCGCGAAAAGTGTGACGAGCGCGGTTACAGGGAAGTATATGATCAACCACACGCATGAGAGATCGCCCTTCGGTATGTACTTGAGGAGATGGGTATCGAAGCGCGGGCAGCCTGAACACAGAGCTGCGCTGACATGAAGACTCGCGGGTTCAGTGGCCTTGCGTTCAATCCTTGGATGGCAAAGTTCGACAAACGGCTGGTCCAGTATCCATGATGCACGCTCATGCGATGAATCGTAGTCAGACAGTTGTAGTAACCAAGATGTAATACAGCGACTTGTAAAATGAGCGGAGTATGCGAGGCTTTGATGTCATGCTCGGGTCGGAACTCGAGAGGTATGGCGTCTTTCCAGTCCTCGAGCTCTCGGTCCAGTTCGCCAATGGTGTTGAGAAGCTCACCGTCGGTCTGTTTGGAGGCTTTGACGGAGTACAAGCCCTTGTAAACGTTGCTCTGGATGACAGAAAAGGTGCACATGAGGCGGAAGAGGTTCATGGTGCCCTTTCCGTCTGCCAGCGGGATGTTTCCGATGTTGTCCGCGGGATACTCACTCGGCAGCTCGACGTTCATGTCATCGTCATCCTGGATGGGAGGTCGACCAGAACGGAGACAGATACTATGAGGGTTAGCAAAAAAAACAAACTTGAACATTCAGACAATTGCTTACTCTTTGTCTAGCATGTAAGCGATCCAAAACACACGCTTCCGTTGCTCGACCTCAGCGCTGTTGAGGTTAAAGTTGGCACCTTTTTTGTGCAGACCGATGCTGTGTGCGAGTCTCATGGCCGTTGCGATGAAGAAATAGGTTGGTTGGGGGTTGGGTGTGCCCAGTAAGAAGAGTCCCTGATTGCTGTCAGTTAAATGCGCCTTGAAAAGGACAAAGGTCATCTTACAATGCCCAACAGGGCCTGAACACTGAGCAGATCGGTGTTGCGCATGGTTAGCTCCACCATGACACTCATGGCGTTCTTCAGGTACTGCCAAGCCTTTTCATCCTCTTCGGCGGGCACCAGATTGCTCATCACCCGCAGCCGATGAGCAAAGGCCAGTGCGACGTTCAGCGATGCCCACCACCCTGAGCCTTCATATGGGTCTTTGGAGTAATGTTTGTCGACTAGATGCATAAACGTGGGCTCGTGGAACAGCGGGAACATGCAGTTGAAGTTCTCAAGTAGTCCTTCAGCAGTGACAGGGCTTCGTGCTTCGGCGGAAGTTGCTTGTACACTCGGCGCTTGAATATGTCCTGGAAGACGTCGGGCCGCCATGATATCCACTTGTTGTCCTCGACGGCGGCTGTGGAGATCATGTCCCGGAACGAGTCGTCGCCGGTCTTGTCATTCACCCATTGTATGCCTTTGGGCGAGAAGATGGAGAATCCAGACGATGATCCTGCACGTTGTTAGTACTGCATGCACATTCCACCGGATGACAACGGACCAATATATCTCGTTTCACCACAGTTGTTGGTCACGAGCGAGCACATCATTTCAGCGAGGGTGTCCTCATCCTTGCTTTCCCCATTGGCCTGCTTCTCTGGCTCGGGCGAGGCGGTGCCACTTCTAGGGCTGGGGAGCGCTGGTTGCACGGGGGTTCCGTTCGCATTGGTGGGCGCTACTGATTCTCGCCTGTCTTCGTGTTCGCTGTTTCTTGGTGTTGCCGACTGGCCGGCGCGGTCTGTGAAGCGCTTCTCCAGCGTTGCGAGGTCGGTGCTGCCGTCGTCGTCTTCGGGAAGCACACCCGAGAGGCGCATGAGCGACTCCATGCGTGCCAGACGGTTCTCGAGGCCTTCAATGTACTTGGCACTGTTCCCGTCAGCTTCCGGCTTACTCCACAGACGCGCGCAACGCACCCCTTTGGCGGCTGCCGCTTCTTCTCTACTTGAGTGAAGATGCATTCCGTCTTGTAGTTCTGGCAGTGGGTGCACGAGGGCATCTTGCCGTCGCACTTGATCTTCTTCTTCCGGCACATGTCGCACGCCTGCAGCCAGTCAGCATGGTCCGACCACCTTCCAGAGGGTCTATACCCTTGCTATCCGGCGTCGCTTGGGGTCGCTCTGGTCGCCGTGGTCGCCGTGGTCGTCATAGTCGTCTTGTGCGAACATGTTGCCCTGGGGCATCTGCGAGGGGTCGAATTGGCCGCTGCCAAAGATGCGCGGCGGCGGGTTCATCATGGGCGGGCCGGGGGCATAGAAGCCATTCTGGGCGGGGTTCATGGCGGCGTGTGGGCGCAGGAGCGCGGGATTGTCAATGAGGGTGTAGTTTGTGTATTTTGTGTATTTCGTGTATTTCGTATTCACAGCTGGACCCTCTGCCCTGGCAGGTACGGGGCGTGGAGTAGTTTTGTGGGCGGCGACGCGGTGCGGGCGTGGAGGGGACTAGTGCTGGGCAGCGATGAAACGCAGCCGAGGACGCGGTGAACAGGGAGCGGGAGTATTAATGTCGCAGACTGCCATGCGACCGAATCGCGACGGCGGACAGCGGAGAGGCAGAAAGCTTGTTTGGCCGGTGTATGAGGGTGCAGGCAGGCGCGATGGGGGAACGAGGATGGTGCGGAGACGTGTGCTGCCACTACATGTCAGCACTACCATCATAAAGAAGTGCAGACTACCGCCGATGCTCCCAGGGCTGCTGCACGATCCGCCCGTACAGAGCGCCTGGCCATTCGTACCTGTCAGAGCCGTCCGCCGTAGTTCGCGCGCCGAGTGAAGCCGAGAGCGGCATAGCCCATGGGGCCCATATGACGTCCCTGCGCCGTATCTCGTACACAGGCACGGATCAGAACATCAACATCAACAGCAACATCCTCAGTCATCTCGTCCTACCTCACCTCACTCTGCAGCCACATGCATCGCTAAGCGCTCTGCTCACCCTCAACCTGACACAGCAGCAGTAAGTGGCGTTTACTTGCCAATCTAGCAGCTCCCCCAAACAAATTTACACCTGCGTGTCCCTCGCATGAGCCACGTCTGCACGCGCCTGCCCTGTGGTATGATCTTGGAACAGGTGGCTGCAATAGGCAATCCGCCAATGCTGCTGCGCCAACAGGCTGCCAACGGCAACTCCAATATCATCAAACAGGCGCCATGTTTTCTTCGCAGTCGTCGTCGCGCCCTCCAGGGATCTTGCTAATCGTTGTTGCGGATCGCAGTCACTAGTAGTCGGCACATCATGGCCCCTCTAACACCGGAAGAGCTGCAACAGCACCCCGAGTACAACCATACTATCTGGCACCTCAAACCCACGAAGAAAGGCAAGGTCCCCGTTGCCCAAGGCAGAGGCGGGCCAATCGACATTGCATATGAAGTGCACGGCTCCGGAGATCGACACCTGGTTGTAAGTACGCTCTATATTTGGCCTTGATAATGCTGCAACGCCCCATGTCAAACAGGCACAATCGTGCAACATCATTTGTCATGCGCAAATCTAGCAAGCCTCTGCCTGGCCGTTGCAGTCCATGTGCAGTAGCGCCTCCAGGCACGTTTTGTTTCGGTCGCATGGGCCGTCTCACAACCACTTCTCACGTTTCAAGTTCCTGAAATGCGAAGCTTACCCTCGCGATTTTTTTCCCCTCTCTTTCCGTCAAGTACTTACGTGTTCTGCTCCTATTCTTGCTGCCTTATGACGCGGCCTCAGTCATCGACGTGTCGTACTGACGCCATGTAGTGGGTCATGGGCCTTGGTGGGATGAAGTATGCATGGCAACGCCAGACAAAAGACTTTGCTCACACAAAAGGCGACCAATACTCTTCGCTCGTGACCGACAACCGCGGTATTGGCGAGTCGGACAAGCCCAGATTCCGCTACTCGACCTCTGAGATGGCCAAAGACATTATTGAAGTCCTCGACCATCTTGGCTGGGATAAAAAGCGCGAGCTTCACATCATCGGCATTTCAATGGGAGGCATGATTGCGCAAGAAATGGTACGTCCTCCGTAATTTCCGAATTCTTCTTGTGCGCCCATGATGCAATCCTTCGACGTTGAAGAGTTGTGCTTCGGAAACTTCGGAAGCTGTACGATCCGTCCCATGTACGCTCGCCCGCCATGGGCATCAAACGATTCCCGAACCTGCACCCCTTCCTGTAATCTCGGTAGCGTCTTCTGGGCCCGCTCCGCTCCGCTCCACCCCCATTGTAACGACCTGGCACTGCACGTGCGCCGTTCATCGGGCCGCACGTGTTCCACCCTGCCGTCGATCTTTATGCGGAAAGTTGTAGACAAATCAGAGGCTAAGCAGACACAGGCCGCTCTCATACCTGAACGCATTTGCACACTGTCACTACTATCGACGGCAGCTGGAGTATTCAGGACTACAGTGAGTCGCTCGAGCTGCGAAGCCACGCCATGATACTAAATCGACCAGGGTTTTGTCGAGAACCTGATCAACCGAGTCAACCTCTTCATCCCCAAAGCGATCGACCAACAAATCGAAAACGTGAAAAAGAATCTCTACACTCAAGCATGGCTCGATTCGCCCGACACTCTTGAGCCAGTAAAGCAAGCCTTCCCAACCAACGGTGACCGCTTCGCAGCCAACGAACTCTGGAAGCGCCAACAGCCCCAGTACTTCCAAAAAGCCGGGTTTATTTTACAAGCCATCGCCGCGGGCTGGCATCACAAGTCACCCGAGCAGCTACAGCAAATTGCCAAGACGGTTGGCAAGAAGCGCATCATGGTTGTTCATGGTACACAAGACAAGATGATTACGTTCCCGCATGGTGTGGTGTTGTGGAGGGGTTTGGAAAAGGGAGAAGGCAAGACGGGCAAGGAGAATTGGTTGGGGATTGAAGAAGAGGAAGATGTTTGGCAGGAAGGTGAGGTGGAGAAGCATTTCATCAAGGGGCAGGGACATGTCATTCCGGCAGAGATGAGGGGAGAGTGTAACAAGTGGTTGGAGGGGTTGTTTGAGAGGGGTGAGAAGTTGAATCAGGAAGAGGGCGTGTAAGTACATTAGGGACTGTTCGCGTGAAGCGGCTGTTGGCATGCGAAGAATCGACGCGAATACATGGTTCGGATGGTGTCATTGCTTGGCAGTCTTCCCTCATTCCCGCCCTGCTTCTGTCGCTACAGTTAACTGAACAGACCACAACGACCCACAAGACGAAATCGCGCAGCATTTCATGTGAAAAAAAGTCCAGAAATCGATATCGAAACTACACCGAGCCTCAAACGCGAATCTGCAGGCGCTATAGCCTCTTGTCAATGTTGGTTGACAAGCTTTGATCGACGTCGCTAAACTCCTTCATCCTATCTCAACCAGGAGCTAACGGCAACCTACACTGCAATAGGCAGCTCGAAACTTCGCCAATACTTCGGCACTGTGATGAGCTCAACATGCCGCAATAATGCTTGGGAATTTGTATGGCAACGGCTGAACTATGACGATTGAGCTTAAGGGTACCCTGGGGTGTTCCTTATAAATCTACTAAGCCTCACGCACGAGGCACTTTCGTCCTCTGTGGGCGTGAACCATATTTGTCGTTAATAAAAGAGTTGGTTCAGGATACAGGCATTGAAGATGCGATTAATACTGCCTTCGGCCTTGAGCGTCGTCGCGTCGTGTATCGGCAACGCCGCTGGAGACAGCTACGCAAACAATCAGAATGCAGTTGTCGTCGACTCGCCTCAGGTTTCCGCCAACTTTCCAGATGTCGAAGGCGTTCAATTGCTGTCGCCAGCTTTCCTAAGCAACGCCACACTTCCCTCGACTTGGGCGAATGGCACGTCCGGCCCCACTCCACAAAGCACACTGGGTATGTTAGATTACCACCTCTGTAGTTTAACCATGATGACTGACTTGAGTCTCCAAGAGAGTTTTGTGAAAAGCATAGCGAGTCGCAACGGCTGGATCAATTACCACGACGAACTCAACTCAGAAGAAGGTCGCTCGATCCCGTACGTCACTTTATCTAACGGCAAGCACAGCGACAAAAAACTCCGTCTCTGGCTCCAGGGTGGCCAACACGGCGACGAACCCGCTGGTGATCAAGGAGCTTTGGCCCTTCTCGCAAAATTTGCAAATGATGCACAATGGGCTTCCAAAGTGCTCGAAAAGATCGACCTACTGATCCTACCGCGCTACAATGCCGATGGCGTGGAGTACTTCCAACGCCAACTCGCTTCGAACTATGACCCAAACCGCGACCATGCAGTCCTACTTCGTGAACAGACTCGTGCAATCCGACAAGCTCAGTCAGACTTCGATCCTCATATTTTCATTGATGCACATGAATATACCGGTGTTGGCCCAGTAGCTCAGCGCTACATCCGCGCTCAAGACCTGCTCGTGTCAGCAAACAAAAACCCCAATGTAAACGCCAACATTCGCACCCTCAACCAGGACTTTGTCGAAGACATCTTTGTAGCAACAACGGCGAAGGGCTTGAGGGTTGGTCCGTACTTCACAACCAGCGTTGCGAACGGAACGATCACAATTCAGGAACCAGATTGGCATGCGCAGGCGAATCACAAAGGCGCAGGAAACTACCAAGCTCTGACCTTCCTCGTTGAAACGCGTGGTATCCGTCTTGCAGCCCAACACTTCCAGCGGCGCGTCGCATCCCAATTGATCACATTGACGACCATCATCGACAAAGCTGTGTCGGAATTCGAAAGCGTATACGCAACCATCAATTCCGGGCGCGAGGCATTCACCGAGAGTAACGACGACTTAGTCGTCCTTGATGATTATCAGATCACTTCCAAACAGATTCCCTTCTTCGAGAAAGACTCAGGAAAACTGGTAAACGTCACAGTGCGCTCGCAAAACTCCGACCCCACACGCATCCTCCTAACCCGTCCGCGCCCACGCGCATACATCTTCTCCCGCGCCTTCGCTACTGTCGCGGAGCGCTTGCGCATCCTCGGCGTAAACGTCACCCAGCTATCTGCCGACTACATCGGTACGGTGGAGGCGCTGGTCATCGAGACGGCTGAGGTGGCGGAGGCTAAATTCGAGGGCATTGCGCAGACGAGCGTGACCACGAGGACGTCGACCAGGCAGGTGAAGATTCCGAAAGGGGGGTTCTGGGTTGATACGAGGCAGAAGAATGCTGGGTATGCGTTTGCGTTGCTCGAGCCTGAGGGGGTGGGCAGTGTGGTTAGATATAATATCGTGCCGGGGGAGGAGGGGGATGAATACCCCATATTCCGCGTCATCTAGACAGAATCTCCTCAGTCCAATATCCAAACGACCGAAATGCTCATTTCCTCATTGATAGTCATGCCACCTACTCAGTTATCATAAAATCCAATATCCCAATCATCGACACAATCTCCCCAACTCGTCGCATCATCTCTCTCATCGTACACACCTTCACCATTCAACTCATCAAATCTCGCATTCTGCTCCGCCTTCCACGGCGCTAACGCTTTCTCCCGCCCATGTGGCCTATAATCCGCTCTCTGTGACTCAGCAACGCGTCTGCCCGCTTCATCCCTCACCAAATCCCGCCACTCCTGCCCCTTCCCCTGACAAAACACCTCTCTTAATTGCACCAGACATCCCACGTCACCGGCACAATACGCGACAATGTCAGCGGGAATCGGGCGCTGATTGAACACCTCATACGACCCACCCAGCTCAGGCTTAAACAACTTTTCGCCCCTTGATTTCGCAGCTTGCCAGGTAGACGTGGCGCTGCAATTCTTCTCCACGCACCTCGCCAGCCCTATGACTGTCCTGCGTAACGCAGTCTTTTCGCGCGCCGCGCTCTCCATAAGCTGCACGTCTTCGACGCACTGCAGCGCAACGCCATAGTGCGCGTACAACGCGTCGGAATCATTGCGTACGTCGAAGAAGACCTTGGTGATCTGACTGTCTTCAAGAACATGCTTGAGCGTTTTGCCCTGGGAACTGGGGGTGGTGAAGGCCAGTGCGCCGAGTGTGTGCATGTCGATGAGAAAGATACGTGCGGAGGACGGAAGGAAGATGGTTAGAATGGAAATGGAGCCTGAGCGGGATAAGGGTACGCCTTCGAGATCAAGATATATAATGGGCGATGATGGGTTTGATGGGTTGTGGTGGGTTTGGAGCCAGTCGACTAGAGCGCTGACTTGCAGCGTGGTGTCGATGATTTCTGGGCTGGGTTGATTCATTTTCAACGCGTGGGTGGATTGCGACGCTGGAATCAGGGATGGAGTTGAAGAGTGCAGGTAAGCCCTCCGCTTTGACTTTGCGGAGGTTTACAGCTCGAAGAACAGGCATGGATGTGGTTCGGATATGGTTGGACAGTGTAGGTTACACTGCATCAGCTATCGTCCTGTAGACACTGGTTCACGAGATGTATGGGGGAGAGCATCATCACCGACCACGCCGCAAACCTCACAACGAGCCTTGTTTGGGAAGGCTCCTTGGATGAGTACCCGTCTTTGTATAAAGTACGCACAGAACCGCAGCCATTTATCTAATTTACGCACGACTAAAAGGCACAGCGCATAGATCTCACCGTCGAAATATTCACCTTGCTTCCGATCACTACGCAGCCAACCCAATAACCTCCGTCTTCAGATCTTTGGGCCAATACGCCTGATCCGTCCCATTCCTGCGTGTCCCGACATTATACCCCGGCTGCACATCGCCATTCGGGAATTGCAACACCGGCTTCGGCACGACGAATGTCGTATCCAGATTCTTCGACGTCCTGGGTTCGAAAAATTCGGGGTTAAATAATACGTCGGCGTCATGTTCGTGCAGTATTTTGAACATGGCGGGCAGTAGATACAGCATCATGTGGTAGTGCCGAAACACGGGTGAGCCGTGGCGTGTGAATAGCTCGTGCCAGATATCGGCCGGGTACGTCCCGCAGGATTTGACGAGCCATTGGGAGTAGTAATTCAGCGCGACCTTGAGGATGTTAGTATGTGTTGTTCAATGGGGGGACGGGGGTTGGGCTCACGTCGACTCCGTAGCTGCCGCCATGCTGGCTTTTCTTGACGAGCGCGTCGAGAACGGCGGCGCTGCCGCATACTCCCGTGCTGGCTTTGTTAGCTGGAGATACAGTGTGCGAGATTCGATTCTGAAACTTGCCAGTAGTCAGCGTTGGGAAAGACGGGCGTTACGGCTTCGCCGTGGCCCATGGCTTTTCCGTATTCGAGGGATACTCCACAGCACTGGCGGTAGGTTAGCTGAGATGTGAGCGTTTTGGTTCCGAGGTGGGTTACGAACCGCATCACTGATTTTGGCTGCCAACCAGATCGATGCGTCCAGGGACCATGCCAGCCGTAGCAGTTTTCGCGGACGTGGATGATGCCGTGCTGACGGTCCTTGACCAGGTCGAAGATGGCTTGGCGGCCGAAGCCGAGCTTTTCCATGACGCCGGGCTATGGTGAAGTCATTCAGAGTTTTTCAAAAGAAGAAGTGGTAGTTTAAACTCGAAGCCAGCGGCGCGGAGTTCACGAGAGTCGAAAGACTTACCCGATACCCATCAACAACCACGTCTGCTTCACGAATGAGCGCTCGGAATTTCTCCTTATCTGCCTCGTCCTTGAGATGCAAGAATGCATTCCACTTCCCCCAGTTCAAGTCCTGGTGCACCGGCGTCATGTCAGTAATTTGTGGCGACACAATCCTCATAACGCTTGCGCCCAGCTCAGCCAAGCTGCGGCAAAGAGACGGACCAGCAATAACGCGAGTGAGGTCAACAACCTTGAGTCCCGCGAGTGGACGCTTGGGGGAAGACGGCAGGCTTGAATTCTCGGGCCACCATCCTGCAGGTTGCGTGGAATCATTGTCTTTATGAATCTCATACAGACCGACGTCGTTCTTGCCTTGTTCGGTCGCAAAGTACTCATCTGCCGTGTATGCAATGGTTCCTGCCTGTCGGTATTGCTCGTTCATCAGTTCGTCCAAGTCCGCTCCGTTGTGCTGCGAGACAGCGGCCTGGATCCTTTCCACAATGGCCTCATAAGTATCGGTATCTTCGCCATCAAGTGGCAGTCCCAGAGCGGTCAGGCAATGGTCGGGGTTCATGCTGCCTGTTCAGAACATGAGCTGATAATTCTTTGTAGTGTTTAGGTGTGGCAAGTACCATGGATGTGATAGTATCGGTTGTCTTTTGTCTTGTAGATGTTTGTTGCAAGCTGCCTATACAGGTTGCCCAGGCTCCTGTGCAGGTCCTGGCTAGGGAACAGTTTGGATTCGAGTGGACTTAATGGACTGAACGGTGTGGGTTTGCCCTCTTGCACTACTTGCGCAATCAAAGATGACATGAAAAAAAGGGAGGCGTGATCTCTATGTCGAATTAGCTCAATGACATGCGAGTCATACTCTTTAGAGTTCTTGAAAGTATCATATGCTTACGTGTTGATTGTGACATCGACAGGAGCAACACCGTATTTACGAGTGATGAGACCATTGAGCATAACCGCTTCAAATCCCTTTAGCGCTGAGATGCTTTCTGAAAATCGCCAGTTGATTGGGATACTTGGTGTCGCATGGCCTTCGAATTTGACGTGGCTATACAATTCCTCTGCATTCTCGGGCAAGTCTTTGACCAAGGGGTTTTGTATGATGCCCCTCAGAAGGAGGTCTGCCGCTTCGTGAGGCACTGAATAAGTTTTCCCTGGAGGCATTTGGATTTGCGAACTCATTGTTGTGGTCTGATTGTTGATAGATGTTTTGAGGGTGACAAGATAGGTAGTTGGTGGAGTAGTGGGGCAGCAAGGTATTTTCGGTTATGCCACAGGATTTCCAGATGTGTTTATATTCACACTACAGTAACATACCTATCATTTATGGGGTTTCACAGGGTTTTTGGCTGCTCAGACTCGTTGTACCTTACTATGCCCGTCAAGTCGAAGATTCGACGGTGACAATCGCTCCGTCGCCATCCATGGCACGGGCTCGCGTGCGCGCGTGTCTAAGGGTAGTAGCGCTGACTCACTGAGACGAGCATATATACTGAGATCGTCACCCCAGTTCCGAGGGAGTCCCGGAAGGCATGCAGCGCACCCGTGCCGAGGGTGCGGTTAAGTACCCCGCTTTCCATCTGGCTGGAGAGAGAAGCATCCGTGACTTCCGTCGAGCTATCGAGTCAACATTCGAAGATCTAAGGCGTTGACGCGTATGGGTTTTCCTACTTATAATGAGCGACAGCGATCCATCCAAATAGACAAAGTGCTACGCCACACAGTACGATTGTAATTAGCTCTACAAAAACCCTCCACTGAACTTTGTTCTTGCTTTCAAACTACCTTTCTGAACTTGCAACCATGGCCTCAGCATCAAAATCACCCCATCATGTCGGACCTACCACCCTTCGTCAAGATCCAATTCATGCCAATCGCCATATGAGAGTTATTTGTGCGGGTGCGGGTGCATCGGGCATTTATCTCGCATACAAGTTGAAGCATTATTTTACAGACTTTTCGCTTAACATATACGAGAAGAATGAGGACATCGGCGGTACCTGGTACGAGAACAGGTACCCGGGCTGCGCTTGCGACGTACCCGCGTGAGTCTTAGTCTTGTCTTATTGCTCAGTGCGTTAAGATACTAAGCTAATCCTCAAAGTCATAACTATACTTACTCTTTCCATCCTAAACACGATTGGTCAGCTAATTACGCTGGTTCGAAAGAAATCTTTAACTATTTCTCGAACTTCGTGGATACTTATGGATTACGCAAGTACATCACTTGTAGCCGTAAGGTTGTTGGCGCTACCTGGAATGAAGATGCTAAAGAGTGGAGCGTGAAGATCTGTAAGGCAGACGGGACCACTTTCGAACAGGGCTGTGATTTCTTCATCAATGGGTCAGGTATTCTGAACAACTGGCGATGGCCTGCGATTCCAGGCCTCAAAACTTTCAAGGGACCGCTCTTGCACTCTGCTGCATGGGATGATAAAGTCGATTTGACTGGTAAACATGTTGGTCTAATCGGCAATGGCTCTTCCGGCGTCCAAATACTGCCACAAGCTCAGAAGTACTTCCACATGGCTAACTCCCACGTCTACACGCATCACTAACGAAGAACCTAGAGTTGCTTCACATGTAACCACATTCATCCGAGAATTGACATGGATAAGCCCTCCGATAGATATGGGATACCGTGCGTACTCTGATGAAGAGAAAGACGCATTCAAGAATAGGCCAGGAGTTTCACTTGCAATGCGAAAAGCCACGGAGAAAGCAATGACGACGGGTTTTAAAGGTCTCCTCAAAGACAGCGATGCCCAACAGGTTGTGAAGGCATATTCGAAACAACAGATGACGACAAAATTGAAGAAGCCGGAACTCATATCAAAGCTTATCCCTGATTTTGCGGTAGGATGCAGATGTATTACTGTTCGTTTCCCCGGCTTTTCACATTCTAAATGTGGTGCTGACTGTTCCTCGTACAGCCCGGTACCGACTATCTCGAATGTTTGGGAAAAGATAACGTGACTGTGGTGTATGGCGAGATCACCAACATCACCACGGACTCGTGTATCACGAGCGATGGCAAAAAGACTCCATTGGACGTGTTGATCTGTGCCACAGGATTCGACACCACATTCAAGCCTCGTTTCCCTGTGATCGGTCGTGGTGGCAAAGATCTTGCTACAGAATGGACCGAAGAACCTCGCAGCTATCTAGGCTTAGCAGCTCATGGCTACCCAAATTACTTCATGTATGTTTCCAGCCTCATGAAAAAAAAACGTCCAGAAGCCCTATTGCTAACTTCGAGTTCCTAGGTTCCTCGGACCAAATTGTCCCATTGGCAATGGCCCAATAATCTTTTCAATTGAGATCCAAGGCGAATACATGGCTCACATCATGAATCGTTGGCAGAAGGAGGATATATCGTCGTTCGACCCAAAGCTGGAAGCCGTGAATGACTTCATGGAACAGAAAGATCTGTTCATGCCTACCACCGTGTGGAGCAGCGACTGCCAGTCCTGGTACAAGGATCCCCGCTCCAGAAGATTACAGCCACCTGGCCCGGCTCAACACTGCATTATATGGAGACGCTTGCTAACGTTCGGTACGAGGATTACGATGTGACATTTGCAAGCAAGAACAGGTTTGCACATCTTGGGAATGGAATTTCTCAGACTGAGCTCAATCCGCATATTGACGAAGCGTATTACATCCGAGAGTTTGACGATGGCTCGTCGGTGTGCAGGAATTTGCAGAGCACGTACAATGTGAAAAGGTGCGATGAGTTCATCAAAGCAACAAAGACTAGTCGGCTATAGTTTGAGACACGAAGTCGATCGAGTGAACGCGTTTGGGGAGGGATGTATATTAATTCAATCCATATTCTACCTTAGGACGGTATCAACTAGTATCAGTGAACCTTGCCGATGACCTGCTTGTTCTTCAAATGTCACCATAGTGTACGTACGTGAAGTAGGTTGGAAAATGTAACTCCATGGTTTTATTTCGTTTTAGTTTACATGTTTCTATCTCTGGGACACGTGCAAGATGATGTCCAGTGAATAGTTACAACAAATCTCTCCTTAATTTCACAACACCCACTGCACCGAACAAGAGCGTGATTCGCAAACGCTAACAACTGGGTCTTACAGAAACCGCAGGAAAGGATCAATTTCATATCATGGCATAGCCTTTGATCTAATTGCGGTTTAGAGTGCAGCCTAATTGAACGTCGCTTTGAGAGATTGCGGGGAAGAGCATTTGTACTTTCCGCCTATTTCGTCCGCGATTCCTACCACGACTGTCATGACCATGAACCTGAGCATATCTCAGTAGGTACTGTACAAGATCAGCCGGCCCCGTCATGCTGAAGGAGACGCGAAGTTCGTCACTCGGCCTGATCCACTTTTTACGCAAGCGCCCGCTCGATCAACCGTGAATACGTTGAATACGCTACGTTCTTCGGGCCGCGCGAGAGTTGTCAATGTAGTCTGCCTCGTGGGGATTAGCGGTCATGCAGGCAACACATTCCGTACCCCCACGGCCCGATTGAGCGAGTCACTGAATTGTACTAGCGCTGACTCGCCCGCCCGCGTCACACCTGGGGTCTTCCCTGTCTCATCTAAAGTCAGTCGTGTCGCGGACCAAAATCTGGTTCATTTCAGCACGTGCGACTGCAGCTATATTGAGTGTATATATCAAGACCATGGCAATCCGCCGTCCAATCTACAGCAACAATTGAAAATTTACTACAAAAATCATGGCTTTTAGCACAGAAGCAGATTTTGACAAGGTCGGTGCCTCTGACCTTTCGATGAAAACGCGGACTAATGACAGGACAGGCCTATCAATCAGTGCGCACAGCCTTTGACAATGGAAAAACCAAGCCAAAAGCGTGGAGACGGCAACAACTCAAACGCACATGGTGGATGATCGAAGACAACAAAGACCGTATTGCCGATGCGATTTACAAAGATTTGCACAAACATATCCAAGAAAGTCGCATGGCTGATATAGCCGCCGCACAAGACGAAATCCTGGACACACTCAAGCACCTTGATGAGTGGACAAAGGATGAGAAACCATCGCGAACAAATATTCTCAATTTCCTCGGTGGCGCGACTGTGCGTAAAGAGCCGCTCGGCGTCACTCTAATCATCGGAGCTTGGAACTATCCGATGCTGCTCTTACTTTCACCCATGATAGCTGCCATCGGAGCTGGCTGCGCGATGATTCTGAAACCTTCGGACATGGCGACCGCTTCTCAAGAGCTTTTGATGGAAATAATCCCACAGTATCTTGACCAAGATGCCATCCAAATCATTAGCGCAGGCCCCGCTGAGATGGGCCGCATACTGACCCATCGCTTTGACCATATATTCTATACCGGATCTCCGAATGTCGCAAAGATTGTGTATACGGCTGCGGCAAAGCACTTGACACCAGTGACACTCGAACTAGGTGGACAGGGTCCATCGATCGTGGCCAAAACAGCTGACATCGATCTAACAGCGAAACATATCGCAGCAACAAAGTTCATGAATGCTGGTCAGGTAAGAAGATCTCGCATACGCGCTTTACGAAGCGAGGAGAGGCCGTGGCTAATTTGATTCATGTAGATTTGCCTCAACGTAAATCACGTTTTTGCTGATCCCTCAATTCGCGGCGAGCTCGTTGAGAAGCTCGGAAAATATTTCGATTTATTTAGTGGCGGCCAAGAACGGCCAGAGCACTATACGCATATCGTGAACGATCGAAACTTCAATCGACTTGAAAATCTCCTGTCTGAAACAAAAGGACAGGTAGTCTATGGAGGAAAACGTGACAAACAGACACGTTACTTCAGTCCAACCATCGTGACGGATGTAAAGCCCGGCGACTCCCTACTCTCTGAAGAACTTTTTGGCCCAATGCTTCCTATCATCGACGCAGACTTGGATACGGCAATCAAGTACACACGAAGCGGAGAGCATCCGCTTGCAATTTACGCTTTCACCAAGGATGCAAGCGAAAAGGAGCGTATTCTAGAAGAGACTCGCTCTGGAGGTGTGACGTTCAACGACTGCGTTTTGCATGTCGCCGCACACGATGCGCCCTTTGGAGGAGTTGGTAACTCAGGCATGGGTTATTACCATGGTCGTTATGGTATTCTGACTTTTTCACATCTGCGAACATACATCAACGCCATGCCGAGCTGGATGGAGCCACTGCTCGACGCACGGTATCCGCCGTATACTGTAGCAAAATCGAACAAGATGTCGCCTCCTTCGAAACCCACATTTGACAGGGAAGGAAACGATTTATCGAGCGGAGCATCCTTCAAAATCGCCGGGCTAGCAGTCATGATTGCAAGCATAGCTTATGCTCGTAGTCGGGGATGGAGTGGCTCATTCATCGATATTCCTTCGTATTTTAAGTAAACACAGCCGCTGTCATTTGTCACTTGGAATATAGATGCGTGTGTTAAACGATGTAAATTTACTTTTGCCCTCAGATCCTGCAAAGTAATTATGCAATTCCATGTTCTTTTAATGCTCAGAGCCGTTGATCGTCTTGAACAGTTCGTGGAGGTACAAAGATAGGTGTCGCAGTGTTCATCCTGTCAGTATGTGAGACACTATACGGATGGGTTCTATCAACGTAACGTACTTACCTGCAGTCTTCACTGCCCTCAAGAATTTCAGCTGGACCTCTGAAAGATCACTGGTGGCATTGCTCTCGTTGATGCGCCGGGTACTAACCCAAGAGGATATTGTTAAGTCGGTGCACTGTGACGATTATGGTTGGCTGAAGATTTCTTAGACGCTGAAGAAAATCATGTTCGCTATGTCTCTTGTGTTTCCTGGAAAGATTGGTGAAAAGGAAAGTCCTTCCGATAGCTTGCTGGTTTGCTTTCATGATCAACCCCAATCGTATAGCCAACCGAGAATGGTTTAGAGCATGATCGACATAAGCCACCATGTGTCTTCAGTACTTGTGCAAAACATGGCCTGCTCATTTCGGACCTTGCATGAAATGATATATTCCAGCGTTGTCATTCCACTGAACCGAGCGAACGTCCTGTCCCCGCTTCGCACAGATGGAGCTTTCGGCAACAGTAATCATGTAAGACTACTTGCATAGTGATATATATGTCCATGCGAAGATCATATATGACTTGCTATTAGCATCGGACATGTGATTGCGAGCACATATCTCACAACCCCGGCTCGGAAGCAGGTGTTATCGAGCCGCTCGGCGGAACTAGTAAGCGCTATAACACAAACAGGTACAACCTTAGCATGCGTTGCGGTATCGTCAATAGTCTGGGTAGTCATACTCGAGCTGCAGACATGCACATGTGCAATTGATATGTGAGTGTCTGGATGCAGGAAGCTGTATTAAATAGTCTAGAAGTACCTTCCCCTAGTAGCGTGTACCCCAAAACTCTGGGGTTTGCTTCTTATTTTTTGCTGCAACAAAGGGTTTTCGATCGGCTTAGAGCATTCACCATGCTACCTAGTGAAACTCAGTAGATCATGAAAGTACATATGAACAAAACAGGTGCAGGATGTTATTAGATCATAACGCTGTCCTTCATTGTGACTTCCTCTCATCTAAACAACGCCATTGCTCTTGAGAAACTTCTTTGGCACATCCACGTGAACCGCGCGAATGAACTCTGCAAAGCCCTTGCCGAGGCTGTCCAAGAGCTTCGAACTACTCACTCCTCGACCCAGTGGACCGTATATGACGTAGTGGACAGCATAGATCTCCGGAAACTCGATCCTCTCAACCGCATACGAGTCTTTCCAGTCCTTGCCCATGAGCTTCTTGATCTTATCGATTGTTAACAGCGAGCGAAGCCAATCCCACTCTTCCTTCGTCTGTACAAAGAAACCACAGTTGACGTTGCCTCCCTTGTCTCCTGATCTTGCAAGAGCGATGTCTCCAAGAGGCATGCTGACTGTCTCGCCAAAGTCACCGAGGGCGATCGGATTCCTGGGATCGTACGAATCACGCGGACTCAAGCTTTCTGTGTTCTGTGGAGAACCAACACTGTAGAATTGGCTCTCCTTGTCAGAGCTCAAAATGTGGACGCCTTCATCCAACTCGCTCTGAAGGATCGTAGCTGGAAAGAATCCGAGATATGGTTTTGGGAAGGCCGTACGGAAGTCTAGCGTACTATGCATACCTATCACATCGTTAAAGGATTAGAGACTGGTGGAGAGGGTATTCGTACCTGCAAAGTGTTGCATGCCGTTGTAAAAGAACGCATGAAAGAACTTCTCCAGGGGAGCAGATGTTTCGGCCTGCGCAAAGATTCGCAAGAAGGTTGTCGAGGCCAACTGCGAGTCCGGATTTTCCTTGGGTACTCCACATCTCTGAAAGTCTAGCTCCTGAAAAGCGTCCAAAACGCCCCATTCTTCAAGTTTACCGCGCAACTGCATTTCCTGATAATCCCATTTCCATGATGTTGCATGACCGGTTGCGTTGAGAAACATTTCGCATTGGTATCCGCCTTCATAGAAGATGGCCAGTTTGGTCGTTGATGGAGGAGGGTAACCTTTGACTCCCGACACGTGGACACGATTGGGTTCACGCTCGTTGACGATGCGCGTATTGCTGATATCTGCCTTAACGTCGCTGTTGAGGTATATGTTCCCTTGAAGTTCACTGATGACACATGTTGTAAGTACCATGTTGTAACTTAACTTGCATGTCTCATACGTAAAGTAATGGGACTTGCGGTCTGTTGGCGAGAGAAAAGCGTGGACTTACTAAAGAAATTGACACTTGACTGTGTCGGCTGTAACGACCCCATTCAAAGCGTCATGTTTGGTCACAACGCATTCTCCGTTGTTTAGAATCTCAACTATGGGTAATCCGAGATTCTTGAGGCTCTCCACATTGTATTTGTACGCGCCAGCAAAATTAGCGCCGGTCACGTAAGTGCTGCATTCGATCAGATGACCAGCGATTAACGCGCCCGCAAGCTGATCGAAGTCATCATCTTTCCACTGATGCCCTATATTCTAGTCAGATGTGTCTCAACGCTGTGAGGTGCGATTACAGAGCATCTGAGAAACATGAATACTCACACCATGCGGCCGCACTAATCACCGGCGAAGCGTCAGCAACACGTCCGCAAATAACGATGTCTGCCCCTTCGTCTAGTCCTCTCTTGATGGCACCTAAGGACCAAAGAGTTAGAATATTTCGAAAAAACGGACCGAGAAGAGAGCGGCATACGGTACCCCAGGTATGCATTAGCTGATACAATGGGCATGGAAGAGGTCTCAAGAAACCGGGTGGCGATGTCATCAAGATGGACGCCGGCGTTGTCTTCATCCAGATGCTTGTATTTGCCCGCCCTCAAGTTTTCGAGGATAAAATCGACTCTTCCCATCAAATCGTCTCCAGACACGTATGCAACCTTCAGATCGAGTCCTTTCTCCTCGATCTACATTTTGATCATGGTTAGCAGTGAGATGCGTTTAAGGCTAGTCTTGTTTACCATCGCAAGCGTCTTCTCCGCCAAACCCTTAGGATTTAAAGCACCTCCATTCAGTACGATCTTGATGCGCTTCTCATTTGCAAGTTCAAGCGTTTGTGTGATGCCGTCCAGTGCAGTAGGCATATACCCCGGATGTTTTCCAGCACGATAAAGGCTTGCATTGGATGCTAGGTTTACCTCTACATTTCTTTGGTTAGATCCGGATGTGCAGAAAGTCTCAGAACTCGAGTCGGGCTCGTACCTGCAAGATAATCGCCTGTGATGACATCGACCGGGCCGTACTTGGCTTGATTGTACATATGAACTCCAGGGTCGGCTGGCATATCAAAATTAATAATCTGAGAAGAGAAACTGGAATGAAGCTCGTCTTACAATAGGCGCCAGAGCAATTGGCAACTCGTACGGCGCGCTTTGCCATGATTGCGATCACAATTTGGTTGGCTTCTTAGAACTGAAAGTATATGGTATCGAGCGATTGATCACTTGCACAATCGCAAAGGACGATAATGCGTACTTCAAGGTGCTGAACACGTACTTATTAAGGTATAACAATGTGAGCATGACGGTTAGCTACAGCGCGTATCCGATGCGTCCCGAAGATCATTGGACATCGTTTGCGAGTCATCGCCCGACCTGAGCTGACGCGGGGTCTCTTCGGGACACTCTCCGCGCCGAACTATGGAAGCTGCAGATCAGCCTTGTCATTTATGTAAGGTTCAACTTAAAGTAGTCGAGGCTTTGTGCGGCAGTGCGGATATGACGGACGAAAACAGGAGAAACAGCTCAGCGCGCCCTGAACGATCTTGACCTTCGAGCTCTCCTCACCATGGCTCCTTGGTGATGCGCATGTGTCTCACTGGATAGGAAACGTCTCAAGACGTTCCCGAGAAGCTATTGAGGGGGCGATGGTCAGGGTCACGGACCGAGTCGGCGCAATTCAGCACGAGCCAGCACGAGTCAGCGCAGGCTGGCCTGCGCATCTAAACAAGACCTCTGTGTCACTGCTTCCCCAGGTTCTTGTCACTCAGTCATGTCATGCAGGCAGCATGTCACCTTCCGCTCCTGTCAACAATGCGTTCCCTCCTTGTAGCGTACATGCTTATGCCGAAACCAGTGCTGACTGTGGCGCACATTGTATCATTGCACGGAAGCGTGATCGGGACAAAATAAACCAGAGAAACAAGCATCGACGGGAGCAAGAGTACGTCTTTCACCTCGAGACAAAGGTTCATCGACTTGAGAACTTGCTGCAGCAACAAAATCCGGGGAATGGCACAAATCATGAAACTCCCGTTGAAGCCGAACAGGCGGCAGATACGATTCTCCCGAATGTGTTGGAAGCTGTACCATCAGTTGCAGAGACATCTAGTTTACAACAGATCGTAAGCTCGTTGGCAACAGTCGATCACGGAAGTGCATTCGTCACATCTGCCCAGGTCAGGCCGGCTCTACCGAACCTAGCCAGTCCTCATACCACGACGCACAGTCTAGCAGCACAGCGAAGCGGTTGTCTGTTGGTAAGAGAGGCACGGATGCAGCAACTACTAGATGCACCAGAATGGCTCAGGATGCCTCTAAGCGACATGAGCACGATACCGAGTTTCGAAGCTTCCTCTCAGCTGGTCAAGACTTTGCTGCAACTGCAGAAAGATCCCGATTCGCCCACGTATTGTCCAGCGGACCCCAAGCCCATTGACCTTCTTTACGCCGGCTCTAGTAATATACTTGCGAACGCTGTTGTGGCCGGTGCGAGTGATTTGCCACTGCTACCTCCAGAAAGATTTGCCTCTTCGTGGATGGTATACAAGTTCTGTAGGGTAAAGTCACCACATCCTTCCCACTCCTAGATACAATGGTTAACGATTCAATCTCTAGTGGCTGGTCTGGCCTTCCCGCGAAACATTCTGCAATCTCCCAGACTTCTGTCGACCGACGCTCCTACAGCTTACAGAAGCACACAAGGTTGAATTTGACTTCATTCTGTGGCCCCGGTTCCGTGACAATCTCATAAAGCACGGCGCCAAGTTTGATTTGGAGAGACTTGTGGGATTTCTTGCTTGCACATATCGTATTCGAGGGTGCTTCAACAAGGAATTCATCTGCCGTGTTAACGACGGCGATCTGCAGATTTGTCCTAGCTTCTACGAGCAAATTAGCAAGATAGAAAATTGGGGGATTTTAGAATCTTTCTGGCACAAATATCCCGACCTGGTGGAGGGTCTTGATACGAATCTTATGTTTCGTGAGCAAAACCTGATGCCAGCCACATCTTGAGCAAGCGATTTTATAAGCGTACATAAGGAACCAGATGGTAGACCTTGATACGTCTCCAATGATTAGTCCTCACACAAGATCAGTGAGTGAATCATACAATCTGCCTCATCGTTTGACTATCTCAAAAGCCACTATGATTATCGTTACACACTGGCGACATCTCGATCATTCGGAAAGTGTGTTATCAAACCAAAAGGCATGGCCACTAGTCCATAGTTTTATGGCCGCTGAAAGTCGTCATAGCATTCTTGCCCCCATCTTGAATGCCAATTCTAAAGAAGGATGGCGCGCTCCTGATCTGTGCCTGCATGAATTTAGATAGCCATGGGAGCTCGATATGCCTTGCCTCGCCAGCCCATATGGCAGAGACAGCAGCTCCAGCCACTTGCTGTGAAGTGAGTATTGGATTGAAGAATTGTGATGGAGTGCTCAAACCCGTGAACATATTTGTGGCGACGATGCTCGGGCACAGAACTGTGCATCGCACTTTAGGTGCGTTATACACGTTCTTGAGTTCACTTTGCAAGCCTTCGTGCAGAGCCAGCGTTGCAGATTTTGATGCAGCGTAGTCCACCATGCCCGCAACCGCTAAATACGCCGCTTGCGGGTGTTAGCAGGCAAAGTCACGTACGCTTTCAGAGTGCGCGAACTTACTTGCTGAAGCCATTGTTACAACGTGGCCGTGGTTGGCTTTGACCATGGATGGGACAAACTCTTTGTAACACATGGCAACTCCGATAGTATTGACGCCAAAAGTCAAATCGAGATCGCGTTTGTTCAAATCTAGCTGCTCTTAAATTCCGGTGTCGTAATCGCAGCATAACACAGCTTACCAAGGAGCGGCTTTCCTCTCACAACTCCCGCAATACAGCAGAGCACCGTCGGATTACCCCATTTTTCTCTTATTTGGTCGGCTGCCACTGTCAGGCTGTCGGCATTGGTAAGGTCGCACTTGAAATACTCGACATTGGCGGCTGTTTTGAAGTCAACAAAATGTAGACTCATGTCAGAGGGAGAGGCACACGTTTGGAGTATGTGAGCGGCATCACGTCTAAAACCGCAATTTTGGTGCCTTTGCTTGCAAGCTGCTTCACCATATCACCGCCGATACCGCCAGCACCACCAGTAACGACAACCATCTCTTCGTCCCAGTTAAAGGCATCTGACACGCCATTGTTGAGAGCGCGCTTGTTCAATATGTTGACCAATCGAACCGAGATGCTGTAAAGGATGATGTAGGCACATTTCTTGACACTGCCACTGATCGCAGTGATCTCAGGTCTATAGCCTCGCGAACCTTTCTTCAAGACAACCGATAATTCTTCGGGTTTCGCATATCCATATGCTGCCTAAAACTATAGTCAAAGAGAGTCTTAGGAATTGCTTCTAGGAGTTTCACTTACAACGAGAGGGATCGTAAGCCATGGGTTGAGAACACTACTGTACACAGCAGTGACAACGTGGTCGAAGGTCAACATGCTGATAGCGAAGGAAGGAGAAAGCTCGTGTTCGAAGCCTATTAGGCTATTTCCACGGAATGTTTTGCAAGCTCAAACACTCCCTAAATGTTCTCCAAACAGTCCAGATCCAATGAGGCTAGCCAGGCGAGGGGCCATCTCCGTACCCAGGCTGAAGCTCGATTTGGGAGCAGCTTGTCACCGTGGTCAGCCTCCAACGTGGCGCTGTGACTAGCGAATTCTCCGGTCCTCCGCTGACATGGAAACAGCACGACTAACTTGGCGAGGGCTGGGAGTGTTGAGCTTCCTTTCCGTATGGCTCCGCTCCGCTCCGCACATAAATTGGGGCGACAACATTAGCGCTGACTCACCGAATGGCCGGGGTTCTGAAACACGGGCACTGCCATTAGGCATGAGCTTGCTGCACTTCACGAATGCCATGTCACTATTTCAATACGCAATTAGGTGTTTCTACACACCAGAACTTCTTTCAAACTCTTCAAAGATTGCGTGCGTACCTCAATGAGAAAATCAAGATCTTTGCCTACACTATTTACACCGGCTTGGAATACACGACTGATGCACCCATCGTGTAGCTGTGAAATCAGCGTTTGATGCTGTCGACATACCGAGTTTTGTTGGTATTCAGTGAGTCAGTGCCCGCTTCCAGAATCGGACGCAGATACAGTACTTTGTCGTTGCTCTAGTCGGCCTTGGCAGTTTCTATATTTTCAAGCAACCAACACGTGCGAGTAGCGGGATTCTCATGCCTCTTTCCCTATGTCGAATTTCTCGTCCTGGGTGGTGTTGGCAGTGGTATTGGCCTCGTACTGTCTTCGGCCTTGCTGCCCCTATCACTCTTCGCGTGGTTCGGATCTGGCGGATTAGCAGTCGTCTTCGCCTTCATTGCAGTCATTAGTCTTTCGTTGGATTGCCTTCTCCTCGACCAAAAGAGACGCACGAATGCATTGAAAAGTCGCGGGATATCAAATGAATCTATACCCAGCGAAGAAGTGGAATGGCGCACGCGCTTCTCACAGGAGCCCACAGGTAAAAGACAATTGTCTGAGCAGGAAGTGCGCTTGTTCTAACACGTTGTGCAGATGGCACATCGACGCATGTGCCCTTGTAAGATAAGAAATCAGTTTTGCCCTACTGACATCACGACGCCGACTTGGATCTACAGCGCATGTAATTTGATAGGAATGAAAGGCGCATGAGCATACGCACATTGAAAATGAGGGGCACGATCCGGCTCTTGCTAGAGGGGCCATACTATCGCGGAATCAAAAGACTCATCTTGAAAAGGCCGACGGAAAGTGGAAGCTAGTAAATGTAGGTGAAAGAAAACACCTTCATTGCTCATTGCGAGATGAAATCTTCATACTGACTGCTTATAGTTTGTGCTGCCAAGATTTGTGCCAGTAATTATACTCCAGGAGAAGGATTCGCACATACCGTCAGCGCTTTCTGGGCTGCTCAATTCGGCAAGGAAGACGTCAAGGCCGACCTCCTGCATCACGCCCTCCTGCACCACAGCGACAACGATTTACGCCCCATTGTAGACTCGCCAACAGGAAATGATGCACATTTCCACAAGAGCCTGCCGGTAATAGGCAACTGCTATGCCCTTACGGCAAGAGTTGCGAAGAAGGCCAACTAGACCGACTTGATCAAGTGCCCTGTCGATGAGGCGTCACTTGCGGCGCCGAAGCTCAACAAAGTGCCATTCCCTGAAATTGTGGTACCTAGGAGCCTTGCATTCGAGGATAATGGCTTGGACTGTGTGCTTCGTGGACCTCCAAGTCCTAAGACATTCACAGTAGAACTGAAGCATTTCAAGCCTGGAAGGAAGTATGTGCTGAACTCCATCAGCGACGAGCGGGCGAAGACAACCATAATCGCAGATCTTCAAAGCGATGGCGATGGTGTTGCTCATGTACCTGATCAGCGATAGAAGCGAATTCGAGCTTAGAGTAATCTAGGTAGTAGGTGGTAGGAAACTGGGTGAACGCATTTAGAATAACCTCGGTTATACTTCCTACTTAGGCTGTCAGTTCGGGCTTCGTTCGGACACGAGGGGTAAATGCACCCCAGCACGCACGTCTCAATGCGTTCGACCAACATCGTATGATTTGTGGTCCAACTCTCAACTTTGTTGCGCCACCTTTTGGGCATCCTTTATTTTCGTTTTCGTATACATTGTCGTGTGTGTCTGGCGAAATCTTGCAACTCACAGCTCTTGTTCGTCTCCTCCATCCACAAACATCAAACCATCATGTCGACAAAAGACCAGCTGCCGGTTGTGCTTTTTGGGTATGATTGTAAGCGTAAAGAGAGTAGAGATGATGGCCTGTATGGTATTGACAAAATGTAGCAAGTCCATTCACGAACAAAGTGAGGTTGGCACTGCGGATCAAGCAGATACCCTTCAGTACGTTGCACTATGTTCATCAGCGTCTTCCAAGTCTACAATTTCCATGTCATCAGGAAATTCTTGGTGCAGATTCACCAAGCCCTCGATCCTATCAAATAACTTGTTTTCATACCTTCATGTCGACGTTTCTCAGTATCATTTGTGCACTCGCCTGATTCCATCTTAGCATACGTCACCGTCCCATCCATGCTCCCCAGGCCTTTGATTACCAAAACCTTCGGCCTCACATATCGAAAAATTCCTATTCTAGCCATCGGCCGCGAAGTCTACTGCGACACGTCTCTCATCATCGAAGCGCTCGAGCACTTCTTCCCCAGCAGCTCTGGCTACGGAACAGTCTACCCGGAATTCCCCGGCCTCGACTCATGGAGCTACAAAGGGCTTGTCCGCGGCTTTGCTTCCTTCTGGACCGATAAGCCATTATTCCGCAGCACCACTGGTCTTATTCCTAGCAGCGTATGGGAAACAAGTTTCGGCACTGATCGCTCGCAACTCATTGGCCATCAACTCGACCCTGAGAAGCTTGGGGCAAAGATTCCGCAAAACCTGGCAAACTTGGATATGCATCTAGCCATGCTGGAACCGACGTTCAAGACGAAGGGCAAGTGGGCAATCCCAACGCCGACACCGAGCTTGGCGGACGTCAGTTTGTATTATCAGTTGAGGTGGGGCGTGGACATTGCGAATGGCAGGGGCATTGAGAACTTGAGCGGGGGTGGAACGAAAGATACCAACCGCGAGGATGTCACGGCGAAGGTGTGGAATGAGCAGAGATATCCAGGGCTGTGGAGTTGGTTCCATGCGTTCGAGAAGTACATTGATGGGCTGCCTGATCTGCAAAAGACGAACGAAGATGGATGGCTGGATGCGGTCAAGGAAAGCAAACCGTTGTCAGAAGAGGACTTGTTGGTGCCGGCGGCGGTGGACGGACCTGCGGATGTGCAGAGAGATCTTGTACCTGGTGCGAGTATAAGCGTTGCGCCGGATGATACTGGGCGAGATAATCCAACTCTGGGCACGTTGGTCAAGTTTGGGGTCGAAGAGGTGGTGATAAAGCCGCACGAGAAGGCTGAAGTGGATGTTCGCGTGCACTTTCCGCGCTTGGGGTTTGTGGTAAAGACCGTTGAGGGGGCGAAGTTGTGAATACCAATGATCTGATTTTCGGGTTCAGTTCTGAATATTGAGTGTGTGCTCTGATATACCAAATCCTAATGCTGACGTGAGGTAAGAGGGGGAAGTCGCGAAGCAGTCAACCTCATCTTAGCCTCTTGGTGTCGCCCCCAAATCATACTCGCCACTCAACACGCATCTCTACCAATGACTTTCAAGGAGAACGTCGCATAGCACACACCGTGGACCTCTTTATTGGTGAAGGGCGGAACAACCGGAAACAATGGCCCCTTCATCTGACTTATCCATTTAGTGTGCTGAGGTTCGGGTGCCTTTTGATCTGGCAATCACAATGTGCTCTGCGCGCCTGTTCCCTCGAAGCGATGTTCATTTGTTTGTTCAGTCTCAACGTCACGCACATCGGAGGTGTTCAGTCGATCACGGGTGTGGTCAGCGATAACAAGACACTCGAGCAAATAAATACCAAGTTCACCGGTGCCACCATGTTCTGCTGCATCAACACTCCTGTCCAATATCGCGGTCTCCGCTCTGTCACGTGGCACGTGCAAAAAGAAGGTGCCTGTCACAAGAATGCGATAACAAAACACTCATCTGTTTAGCTATCGCAAGAACCTCGTCTTATGTGCAGCATCTGATTTGCTGTTGCGCTAGTCTTCGTGGCGATTGCAATGTGGTTTTTGCCCCAGAACGGGATGCCCACAGCGGACGGCGGCTTCCTCCAGGTCATGATGGCAACGCGAGGAGACACCGAGATGGACAGGCTCGTACTTAGAGAAGGTGCTGTAGCGGTAGATGAAATTCCGAAAGACTTGGGGAACTTGAAGGTTCGCTATGATGAGCTCATGAGCCAAGAGAAAAGGATGGAGTTTGGGACGGTTGATGAGACGCTGGCCTTGAAGAATTGAACTTGACGAAAGTCGCAAAGGTCAAAGAAAGGCGCAAAGTGAGTGAGAAATCGATACTGGGTATGGGAGAGTTCAGATTAGAGCGTCTTGCCACGCCACATGCAATAATTACACCAACGCCATGCTCATGCTTCGGAAGCGGACATAATATAGTACAAAAAATTCTCCATCGTACACCTAATTAGGCCTATTTGACCTCTTTCTCCAACATCTCCTTCGCTTCGTTTACTTTTGTGGCGAGATATGGCGAGCCGCCGCGATCGGGGTGGTTGAGCAGCATGAGGGACCGGTGCTTTTTGCGGAGGAGTTCTTTGGTGATGCCCCGTTCACTGAATGTAGTTAGTGTCTTGCAGGTGAGTTGGGGAGAGGATGGGGACATACGGCATTTCCAGTATCAGCGCGGCTTCTCTCCGTGTCATCTTGGGCTCGAAGCCGCCTTTGTAGAAACTGCGTCCGAGGGGTCCAGCGCCACCGCCTGATCTTCGGAGTGCGACGAGTGCTGCGCGGCCCTATGTCACGATGGTTAGCAGAGTAATAAGGCGTTTGTTAGGAAGCGAGTGATTGCATCGCCGAGTGCCGTGGAAGACGTACGAAGAAAGCCGTTGCGCCCAAGCCGACTACCCAAACCCACGCCGACATCTTCTTCTTCTCTGGCTGATCTTGTGGCTGCGGTGGATTCGGATACGATGTCATGTGAGTCGATGCTTAATCGAAGGTGTGATAGCCTGTACTCGGTGCGGAATGACGACGTCGTCGCCCCAGAAAGAAAATGAGGAAGCTGCGATGCGGAAGCCGCGGTCGCGCCGCGCGCTGATTGGTCGACGAAATCGCCGCCAAGATTTCGCCCGGGGCCCACCAAAGTTTTCTAGATAGCGGCGCAACCATCTCTACACCTCCACCCGTCAAATCCAGCACGACACGACGACACCATGAGGATCGAGACGTGCTACTTTTGCTCTTCGCCGGTGTATCCGAGCAAGGGCATAACATTCGGTGAGTCCCGAAAACCCCTACATCTGCTCATCAGGATTGTGCGGACAAGAACTAATTTTCACGCCACAGTCCGCAACGATGCCAAAGCTTTCCGCTTCTGCAAATCTAAATGCCACAAGAACTTCAAAATGAAGCGCAACCCGCGCAAGCTCGCGTGGACAAAATCCTTCCGCCGCGCGCACGGCAAGGAAATGACCGTCGACAGCACCCTCACCTTCGCCCAGCGCCGCAACGTCCCCGTGCGCTACAACCGCGACCTTGTACAGACGACACTCAAGGCCATGTCGCGCGTCACTGAGATCCGCGCGAGGAGGGAGCGCGCGTTCTACAAGGCCCGCATGCGCGGCAACAAGCAACGCCAGCGCGAGGAGGATCGCAAGCTGGTCGAGGAGAACCAGCATCTTTTGCCGCCGAGCGAAAGGTTTGCTGCTGCGGAAGTGGATGAGATGGAGGAGGTGGATGTGCAGAAGGTCAAGGAGAAGGTGGAGAAGAGGAGAAAGGAGATTGAGATGGATGAGAGCGAGTTGAGTGAGTTGGAGGAGGAGGTGCCCAAGATGAAGAGCAAGAGGAAGTTGAAGATGAAGGTTGGTGGAGGCGTCGAGGCGATGGATGTTGATGAGTAGATGCGTGTTCAGCAGCTTCGAGCGCACTCCGTTGAGTGCAGTAGAGCGACATGGATGAAGAATGACTGCATCATGGGAGTTTGGGCGTCAAGGTCTACATGGTAGATTATGGTCATGAGATTCGATACCACGGCAAAAAGCATCAACAATGTCACAATGACAGCGCGCACTTTCCTAATCGCTTTGATTTCCTACCATGGTTCTCGGCCTCTTTTTCTTCCTCATAGCCTCCATTCCGGTCTTCGCTCTTTTCCCCCAGCGGCTTCTCCCCGTCTTTTTGCTACCTGTTTTACACTTCGTCAGCATTATCTTCTTCCACCGCGGTGCTCTTGTTCATCATGGTATCTCGGCCAGGCATTGTTTGGTTGTGGTCATTTCCTTCGTACTCAAATTGGTTTTCCGTTCCTTATTCTTCTTTCTCTTTCGTGATGAATTTCGTAAGAAGCACAGCTATGGGATTGATTATACCAAATATCACCTTAAAGGTCTACTCTGAAGACTGTCGTCTAGACGGCCAGTTGTTGAGTTCAGGACTTTTGCTGAAAGGTGAGAGGCATACTCCGACTGCACTTGAGGCGCCGCGATGCACATGCGAGGACCAGCTTTTGCAAGCATTCGAGGCGTTGCTGCCAAAGCCGGCGTAAGCGCCAAAGCCAAAATATTCATGTGTCCTTATCCCATGCCATTTGAGACGGACGCACTAAAAAATCCAGGATCTAAAGGTGCTTGGGGTTTAGCGGCAGGGTTGGCATAAATTCAACCACGTTCGATAGCATTATGATCGACATCCAAGAGTCGAGCACATTGATAGTCACGACCCAGGTCGATATTCTTGAGACCAAGTGTCATAATAGCAATGTCCTGCAGTCTACTTGCACAACACAATCGAGGAATGAATCTTGAGCAACTCAAGGCAGATAGGTAATTGCTATTACCTTAATGTACCCCGAAGTCTTTACTGTGAAAGTGCAGTGTTATGAAACAATGTTGAAATGAAGTAAGCAGGCTTCCATCTTGATCTGCAAGGAGTAGAAAAAGAACAGTTTGTGGATCCTTCTCCGCATACATACACTCTATACCCAATGCTAGTGTCAGTCACGTGCCTACCTATTAATTGACAGCAACGCTATCGAGTGAATATTTATGATCCAGATGGTCATAGTGTTCTTTGGCAATCATAGACATGAGTACCTAGCCGTTCCATATCCATTGTTATTTCAGAATCCTAAGATCTCGAGGATGTTTCAAGCTTTGCACCTCACCACTTTCTTCCCTTACACCCTCTCTGCCCTCAATCAAAGGCGCGTCTCTCCCGACTCATCCACGTACTTATCTTCATCGATCAAGCCTGTGGCCTAGTTTTCTTGTTCCGCCTTTCCTCACGACCTTGACCAACTCACCTTTGACACCAAGTTCGATCAGTCCGGCAGGAAAATCTCAGCACTATGCTTCTACCTCTGAAGTTCGCACCTATTACGACGTTCGAACTCTAGAGGAACCTACTGGTGGAGCTGCAACTCGAGATTCTCAGCGACCGCGTCGTGAACAGTAGGGCGGTGGGTGCGAATGTGAAGGTAGGCTACGGGCTGCTTTCCGGGCGACGCTGTGGGACAAGAACTAGCAGCGACCAAAGAGTGGGGTGACTCGTCACCAAAGGAAGAGAGTGTGCGCGAACTTAGTTCTTTATAAAGTACACTGTAAAGCTAGAATTTCGTAGTAGTGAATTGTCAGTTCCACCATGCTCATGCTTCATTCGAAATTACGTAGTAATGTCTGACGTTCCCATAACACCCTTTCTTCACTCCCATGTCATCTAATGGTACCTTATCTGCGCAGGCGTTTGTACCTGGTTAGACGCCGCAGTGAGTCGGTTTGGTAATATCACCTGCGGTCTAAGACTCTTTTGGGCTAGTATGCGGACTATGTATAACAGCTCTCTTACGCGCGATACAGTTGTCAGCCTTCCTCTTACTCTCCACAACGCTCCAATAACGACCCTAGACCCTTGTAGTAGCTATCCTGCAAACAAACAACCCAAACAATAAAGACTCAGTCATCTTCCGATGCGGTTCTCCTCCACCTTCACGTTGGCTTTCGTAGCAGTCGCTACGGCTTGCTACTTTCCATTCAACGATGCCCACTTCACCAATGTCACCTACGCCACCGAGGTCTTTGCCAACTTGAACCCTCAGTCAGACATGGGTTGGACATCGGTCGTGAATGGAGACAGCGCTGTCAAGCCATGGCCCCTAGTCCCGGCACCGCCAACCGATCTCCCAGGCGAGGAAGGTCTAGTCACAGTGCCCTACTGTTATAAGACCGCCGAAGACCGCGTAGCACTCAAGGAGACCATCGAGGGAGGTATTGAGATCTGGCGCAAGGCACTTCCCGAAGCAAACGCAGTGAACGGACATAGATTCGCTGGCTTCCGAGAATATGGCAGGGATGGATTATATCCTACTTGCCGTGGACCCGAAGACCGACTTTTGGAACCCGGCAGTACGCCATGGAACTCTCCAGATACAGAGAAAGACCAAAGACGGACAATCAACCTGGGCGACAGTCGGCTACATACCTCGCGACGCTGGCTCATCCACGGGACCTGGAGGTTGGGAGGACCGCCATCAGCTTCAACTCGAACACAACCCCGGCTCTGACGGCGAATGGCGCAAGTTTGTGGCAGCGCATGAGCTTGGACACGTTATCGGCTTCGTACATGAGCATCAACGACATGATCGGGATAGCTGGGTGTCATTCAATTGTGAGAACCTGGCGGGCTACTGGGACATCAAAGAAATCGTCGAGGCACACCCCGAGTGGAAAGTCGACATGGGTCAAGTCTGTAGTTCGAATTACTACGGCAGCACCCCAGAACTGCAGTGGTGGAGCGTTCTCGCTTACTCCAAAGACATGGGTGTCATACATGGAAAGCCAACTCTTCAAACGTTCGGCAAAGTCTACGACGACTTCTCCATCATGCAGTATCCATCGGAAGCAAATTCATTCTGGGACGCCGAAAAGATTGATCAGTATCCTTTGGTCAAGTGGAAGAAGACTGGCGACCAGGCCCCTCCTACAGGAACAAAGCCCACGAAGGAGAATGCCGACTTTATTAGGCAGCCTGCTGGAGTGTCAGCTGGCGATGTGGAGGGCGTCAAAATGATGTACCCCTGGTGATGATTGGTGAGAGTACAGTGTGCGGCTCAAATTACAAGTACGGATTCTACCATCAGCATGGACACAGTACAGAACGGTTTTTAGGCTTCTCTGATCCTTAGAAATAGACTGAGCGAGTAAAATAAACTGTCAAACTTCATAATGTTCTGCATGTATGCCAAGTACTTGCATTGCCTTTGTGAGATCATGAGGAATTCATATAATCAAGGACAACGACTGCTCCAACATGCCATAATAATAGTCCAGAGAGAGTGAGTGTCTTGATATCCATGATTTTGGCTATCTCTGCACCTATTTATCGCTCGACGATAGTGCGACTTCGTGCTAGGTTTATTGTGAGGAGTCGTGTCGATCTCGGGGGCAGGTTTGTGCGTTGGGCTGTTTTCTTGAAAGGGCGATTCTGGTATCTTGACGATCTTATGAACCCGCATAACCCTGCTGGCTTTTTGTAACGCGTCGCTACCTTGCTACAATAACAATCATTAGCAAACACCTGTTATTTAGGGTATGAGCAGCCGTTACGCCCTCATTCTGATTGGTATCAATCAAATTCACCACTTAGTTTCCGTACCTCAATACTACATGAATGATCCTAGCACAATTCCATGCGCAAACTCGTTCCCTGATAACGTTTGGAGTTCTGCCACCCTTGCAGTGACAAATTGGCACAATACATTCACTCGAGTACAAGCGTCGCGCTAGCTGTGTCGTCACCTTCCTTGGCTATAATTCCACAGGACGAGTCCGCTTATTTCGTCTAATTCAACTTTCACGTAAGTACTCCTTCCTTCCGCGTACTTCTCTGCCCTGCTCCTGTTTTTGTAGCGAACAGCCTGGACACCAAATATCATGTTAACTTTCTCAAAATTATCTCAACATCTAAAAGGTAACGCGACAGTACCAGAGAAAATCATAACCAACAACGCATCTGCCGCAGGGACCACTGAGCCTGACGTGGAGACCGGAACCTAAAAGTGTCGAGTCACCATATTGGACGTCGTGGTTCCCTAAACTCAATATGTTAGACATTGAGATCATCGATCCTAGAAATGAATACATCATTCTGTCTCCCCAGGAGCGTCAGGACAGATATCTTACCCACTACTCTACTATGGTTAGCGCAATGGTCGCGAAACAATCGCGAAGGCGTCCAAAATCACGCTAACTAGCGAGAGTTGTCTATGGAAGCTTGTTGAGCATAAAGTTGGAGACTGTGACTGCTGCGAGAACTTAGTTGGGCGTGTCACAAGCAGCATCAGAATTGAGGCATACGTTGGGATCTCGCAAACGTAACGCGCTTGGAGTATTTATTCGATGGATCTCTTTCCATATTTGTGGAAGCCAAAATTTTGAAATTTTGGACCTAGAAGTTCGAAGTCAGCACGGGGTCTGGCTAGATGATAGTCATATTCCCATCTAAGAATGTCATCTGTAACCCAGGACACTTACTACCTCTTATTCCCATTCCAAATTTTATCCAGACATGACATTGTGTTGCGTTTTACACCCCTAAAAAATTACTCACGTCCGCGCAGGTAGTGAAAGCGAAAGTGGCAATATAAGTAAAAGATTAAAATGTTCACTAATTAGGACAAGCGCATCAGCTGAGCCATTCTGGCAGTCGGAAAGGGTACCTGTAGTAGCTGCGTGTAAAATCAACAGCCTCCGTTGTCCTGCACCGCGTTGCTAGTGAAATATTCCACATTGTGATGGGTCAACGCTTCCGCTGTGCTACCTAGCAAGCCTCTTCACATTGTGAGATAACGCGTCTGGCATCGAGAAAGTCCCTTCCAGCCTCTTCACCACCAGACCACGCTTCTTGCCTTGATCCATATATATCCATACTATTCCCTCGGGTCATCACAGATTCACACTGAGAAAAAGTCCAATCACAACTTCATCGCATCAAACCACTTCAGGAGAGCTTTTTTACAACTTCATTGCATTACATCAAATCATGGGTAACTCTACCTCGACAGAAGTTTGTTCCGTCGCAGCAACTACCCCGAAGTTTGATGCGAACCATTGGAGCCGATTGCCAACGGAGCTCTTACTCCAAATTCTCCGTCATCACCTCACCTTTCCGAACCCCATCAAACGACAGACTCATTCAGCGTTGATGAAGATGCGCATTCTACCTCTCTTGCTCACCAAGGACGAGGAGTTCACTCGCGTATGTCAAATCGGTTTACTACGGCAGCAACGAATTCCTCATGACACCAGAAGACATTCTACTTGACCGCAGCCTGCCACTTCACATTGGCCAACACATCCGTCACTTAGTATTCCCTATCAACTCGGTGACGGGTCCCTCCACCAAAATGCCTGGTCACCAAGATCACTGGGACGCGAATTGGGGAGCTTATCTTCCCAATATCGACAGCCTCGATGTTTTAATGACGATTCGGGAGGCAGCCGATTACTGGTACTACATGCGTGGCCATGGGTCTATCGCCGGTATGTCACCGGGATTTCTTACACAGCTGTCAGCTAATGATTACATCCGCGCTCTGAAGCCCAAGGTAATGGCTCTCAACTCGAAGAATGTCAGCTTCACAGTAGTTTGCCAAGGCTGTCCGTTCAAGTTCAACCATCCTGATCCTGTACCCGACGGCTGCGCCTGCGCCAGTCGATTTGAGAAGGATATCGCACAACGAATCATGGGGTTACCGGAGCCTACACTGATGGACTAGCACGCTGATATGACACTGAAACTTGATTTCTAATGTCTTTGCTGTCGAGTAAGCCATGTTCATTAGCTTCTTGACACAGTAGCAGATCTTTAAAAAATGCCGAACTATGATTGCGCCAGATAAAACAATCGACCAAGTTCTTCTACATCACTTCACATGCTTCATTGACAGAACTTGTTGTGTATGAAATTGAGAAACTGTTTCTTTTCCGATGCATGGACTTATGTGACGCCATTGTAGTAGAATTGAATGGTATCTTGAGACTTGCCTACACGCCGCGAACAAGTGTTCGAACGTTCCTAAAACAGCTTTATTTGCTCACAAATTGGATGTCCGTCAAACGATGTATGTTCGTGCCATGTAAAGCTCCTTGAACCTGGTCAGAGGGCGCATCATTTGTGAAAAAAAAGCTGAATTCCTTCAAGAAGGTAATTGTATTCTACCTGATATGGCGCCGAAATTACAGCGTCGTTGGCACGGCGAAATAGATTTAACCCCAAAATTCCATTTCGCCTAACGCAGCGCCCGACCAAGTTCATCGTGGTTAGCATCCCACTCAGCTACTTCGGCATTGGGAACACGCAACAGCCGATGCGTGTTGGCACCATTATCGTCGACATTGACTACCTGCGACCGGATAGCATAGTTGCCCCAACGAGGAAGGACCTTCATCCAAATGTAGTAGTAGGCACCGCAGACACCGAGAATCCCGATCCCCGTGATCATGTAAGTGGCATAGAAGAAACTGACGGTTCCAGCGTAGATGCCACCCACTGGGGGAATCCACGGCATGACCAGTAGGTAGATCTGAGAGAGTAGATAAAGGATGATAATAGCCCACCAGGCCCTGAAATCAGATCGAGGAGTACCGGATCGGTCGCGGCGCCGGCGGAGGAAGATGAGTCCTGCGCCCAAAGCCACATGAAACATGGCACTTGGGTACGACTGCAGAGAAACGACGAATTGGAATGCGTCGCCAGCTGGTGGTGCCACGATCATGATGATGGTGAAAACCCATTTCAGAAGATACGGACCAAGTGGTGTACCGAAAGGCTTCGTCGATACCCAGAACTCCGTCCATGGAAGGATACCCTGTCGCGCGATCTCACGGATCTGCCGAGACTGACCGATCAAGACGGCTAGTAGGTTACCAAAAGAACTGAGCAAGACACAGAAGTTGAGGGCCGACTCTGCGCGGGATCCAAAAGCAGTGCGGAAGAAAACACTTGCGGCTAGTTCGCTCGACTTGACAAATACCTCCTTAGGAACGGCAGCAAAATATGCGATGTTGCAGAGGAAGTAAAGGATGAAGACGATTAACAGCGACACTGTAGCGTTCTTCTTGAGGGTTGGGAGAGGATTCTTGATCTCGTTGGCCATGCTGAAGGCGTTCTGCCATCCGGAGAAAGCGAAGCTGATATTAACCATGGCTTGTGAGAGGTTGTAGCCGCTGGACGTAGTTCCACTCATACCGTTGCCATTTCTGAAATTGATGCCTGGGTTCGCCACACGCGGTACGTGACCACCGAGGATGACTAGGCCCGATATTGAGATGAAGACGAGCAGTAGTACCTTCAGAGCTCCGATTCCATTGATCGCCCATAACGAGTATCTGTTGTGCGCGACGACGCAGATGACGGCAAATGTGTATGCGGCAATAGCTACTCCCTTGAGCTCCCATGGGTCCGGCGCACGCCCAACCATACGCCACAAGTAGTTGGACAACACTACCGCGTTGCTGCTACTGAAGGACAAAAGTACAGACTGAACGGCAAAAGTTACCGGGAAGAAGTGCTTAGGTCTTGGGAAACTCTGCTCGAGCCACACAACCTCAGAACCACTTCGGTTGGGAAAGAAGCTGACGAGTTCCAGGTATACACCGAGGCCTGCAACAGCTAGGATGAAGCCAATGACCCAGTATATTAAAGCCAGACCCACGGAGCCTGTCAAACGAAGAATTGTACCTGGCGTAGAAAAGATTCCGGTGCCGATCATGTGGTTAACGTTGAGGAAGATGACTGTAAGCCAGTTGACGTGGTAGCCCAGGGGCGAATGCGTCTCTACAGGCGCGCCAACGGCTTCCTGATAGCCAGAGGCACCATTCTCGGCTTTCTGATGGACATAAGCGAGGTTTCCATCATGGATAACGGATAATTCGCTCTCGGAGTTGCTGCCATCGGACGCCACCTGGGATGTGGTGGCCTGCGGTCCTATCTTGGAAAAAAGGCCCATGGTGTCTACTCTCTGGTAAGGTTGTTAGCAGATTGGACGGTGTGTGTGATTTGAGCTTGCTAACAATTTTCAGAACCAAAATTTCCGCTTTTTCTAAGGACAGAATTGGGCAAGACGGTTCCTTTATCGCATTCTGTACTACATGGGATGGTGTGGCGTGGCTTGACCCGAATTGTCACACCGTGGACAATGTTTCAAAAGAACGAATGGAGAGGAGAAGTCTCCTCCTCGACCCTCTCATTTTGCCCATGCACAAGTCGTGACCAGCCAGGATAATGGCACAATCACCATTGCAATGCCGTCCGTGGGATTGGCGAGCAACATCCCACGCTATACAAAGCTTCTCACCTTCCAGAAGTGGGTCATGCCTAGGTGCCCAGAAGCACGTCATGTAAGTGCTTTAGGTAGACTGACAGACGGTGCAGCCAAGGTTCTGAATCCACCAAAGATCTCAACGTTTCTGCGCCGGGAATCTGCCGTGTAATCTTTCGCTCCGAGGTTCGCATGCTGGACCTTGCTCAAGTCTTATCGGCTTGCTTTTAGTGTCAGCCACAAGACACGACGTTGGAGGGGAAGTTCGCGATATATTGACGTGCTTGCATCATCGCCGCTAACGGGCCGTTCGGGCACGCGCGATCTCCACATAATACCCGCAACGGAAGCGCAGGGTCTCGTCACGTGGCTATCTATAGTGAGTGAATGAAAAAGTTCAGTGAAGTTAAGCTCTGTTGTAACACAACAAGTTCTTGCTCCATCACATAGATCTGATGCGAAAATATTCAAGTAGTTTTTCCTTGGAAGCACCGTTTTGTATTTGAGACCATGCACAGTTGCTGAAGTTTTCTATTGCATGAGTTTATGAGTATTGCACTGCAATCTTTCGTACCGAAGCGTATGCAACATTTGCTGAAATGACGTCCACCCCCCCTACAGATTCGTGAAGCGCGTGAACTCGCCTAATCTGATGATGTCAAGCCCGTGAAAAACTTCCAGCCAGTGATCACCCAAAGTTGCCGTGGCGAAAGCCAGTGCCACTCGGTCGTTCGCTCACTTGGTACTTGGAGTGCTTTCGCTACGGGCATGAGGTTCCAATGGGAAAGTTTGCAGCTCAGGCGTCACACCATCGTACACACGAGCCCATCTCGAGACGAGAGGAGTTGGAGTTTCCCATGCATTTTCAGGATCACGCAACCATAAGCGCAGTAGATGTCGCCTGTTTCATTCATTTTTGTCAGTTATTCGATCTTTTCTCGCTCAGCAGTCTCTTGCCGTTCTGGAAACTCACTGCTTGTCGTCTTTATCCGTGAAGCCGTCTCGCGCGTGAAAAATGGCTACGTTATTCACATATTGAATATCGCCCTTCTCGAAGTTGGTCGATACACTGAAACGTTCGCCTAGGAAGTGAAGGGCATCAAGCGCCTCGGCCTGAGCTTCGGTAATTGGTGGTAGATTATTGCTCCGCGGAAGGTCACCGAAACCAACATAGTAACGTCTGCCGTACTGTAGGAGTATCTTGTCTGGCGTCTTGCCATCTGCGCTGGCGGCCTGGTGGTAAAGCAGTGGCCGCTTCATAAACTTGTCTTTGTCGTCTGCGGTTTTAGTGAACCTAGAAAGCAGGGAACACGTGTCAGCAACTTTCGAACCTAATTATACTTCTTTTCGGCTTCTAATAACACGAACTAACTCACAGCTCTGCTTCCCAATCTTCGCTCAATGTATGGATAAGGTCGGGCCTTGTTGCAGCCAGATGATTGTAAACACGCCACGTACTGGCAAGACGGCTGGCACCTCCTTCTGCAGCTGTTGAGAGCGCAAAAAGCGAGACGATATCCCCAGAATCAGTATGGAAGACCTGCTTGTCGGCTGTATAAGCTGGAGTACCGATTTTAAGCTGACCCTTCTTTTTGCCCTCTCCGAGCCCAGCCGTTACATCCTTGATATGTCCTATGACCACATCGGCACGCTTGCCGTCCAGATAAGCATCCTGTCGACCTCGAACGGAGCCAATGTGCGATGATATGCCAGCATAGATGATAACGTTCTCCTCGCGTGTGTAGCGATCGACATCTAGGCCACGAAGAACGAAGAAGCCGTGACCATGATGCAACTCGCGGGAGAGGCGGCGCAGCTCAGCATGTAGGGTTGGGAGAGGGAAAGTCTCCTGCGTGATGTAGCCAAAGCTGAGGTTGAGAGCTATTTGGTTCAGTGGTCAACCAGCTTGCACAACATCATCAACACAAAATAGTTTTACGCGACAAGGTACTTACACTTGAAATGAGCGAGTGCATTATCAATGTCCGCCAGTTGGTCGGCCGAGAAAACGTAAGTCCATGTGTAATTCTGAGCGAGGGTCTCCCCTTCCCAGACTAAATCGCCCTTCAGCTCCTTGGGAAATCCTTCGGGGAGGTTCTTCGGGAGTTCTTCAGTTTGAGTGCGGCGAGCAACTCGAGCCTGGTACTTGTTCCAGTCAGGGTGATAGGAAATGTCCGGCTGTCCGGGCGGTGGCTGGGCGGCGGGTGTAGTGCTGAAAACCGGGCCGAGCGGCGGATGAGTGGCAGTGGCAATTGCAGCGGCAGCCATGATTGCTTTCGAGTGAGGAAACTTTCTTGAGATGTTGATCCAGGAACTAGATGCGAATGGCAATCAGTCTCCCCGTCAGAGTCTTATTGAGTGCACTTCTGCTGCGTGAGGTACCTGTTTCGAGAGACAGGGAGACAGGTTCCGGTTATCTGACAGGCAGCGGCTCGGTATTTACGTTATATCAGGCATTCATATCGATCAGTATGAACGTAATCCGATCACAGTCTAAGGTGTTGTCTCCCCGCGCCTTGGTACGAAGCACATCATCGAACCTGGTGGTGACGTGATTCGCTGGACCCGCGGGAAGCGGCACCGTTTTCCAACTGTAACAGCTCCTACCCGCTTCGCCATCGAGTACCTAACCAGGATGCGCGAATGATGGATACCAAAAACGTTCGAAGTTAGTGAAGATAAAATAAAGGTAAGTCCACTCGTAATTATGGCAATTACCTACACCTGTACCTGTTATTAGGACAGTACGATAGGACTACTGGAAATATGAATAGAAATTTATGACAATTTTGCCATCGCAATGATTGAGATGGGCGAGGCGGTGGGTAATGGCGCTGAAAAGGTGTAAAGAGAACACCTGGGCACACTCGCAAAACACACGAAAAGGCCAAAAGAAGAGCATGGGCACCCCTGCTGCCTTTGGGCTATCATTTCTATACCAAGGGTATGGAAGAACGAATGTAATCACAGGTCAGAGAGTCAGATGATAAAGAACGGTGGGGTTGAGCAAACGACAGGGTGACATTGTCCAACCGCAGGCTATCGCTCGTGGAACGGCCTCACAAGGCAGAAATTGACATCGTGCAAGGGATATCGAAAGATACAAGGCCAGAAACAGATATCTTTGAACAGCTACGTCTCCTGGTCCTCCGACGGTCGACCAAATTGGCCGAGGGGGTCTTGGGTCAACTTGCATCCTCCTTCGGGATAATTAAACCTATTCTGCGGTCTGTCATCTGTGTATGGAATCATGCAAGACTCATGTCTTCTACCGAGAGCTGTACGTCCTCCACGATCTCTGAAACCACCACAAGCCACTTCTTCTCTGCCAGCTCACTGACGCCAGGAGAAATACGCACTTGAACATCGGTATCGGGCGGTGCCACCGTCCCATGCGCGCCTGCATTATCCGTTTTGGGAGTGATCCAGGATCCCTCAGTAGGCTTAAAGTCAAAGCGAGTGATCATCAAGGCGACGAATGCTAAAACCTCTGTGCTAGCAAAATGACGGCCAGGACATAGCGTGGATCCTCCTCCAAAGCCGCGAAATGCCACCGGACTCGGCCTCTTGACGCCTGGAGATCGCACGAAGCGGTTGTGCTGGAAGTCGTGTACGTTCTCGCCGTATGCCGGAATCGAAGTGTGCTGTACAGCGCCATGAATCATCACAATGCCACCTTTCTTCAGGAGATACGTTCCATCGAGCAAGTGGTCTTGTGTAACGACTCGGATAGAAGTACCTATACCATGGTACCTCAAAACCTCCTTGAAAATGGAAGTCAAGATCGAGTTGGACCCTTGAATTTGCGAAACATCCAGGGTGACCACATCGTGCTCCACTGTGCAGCATGCGAGAACTTCCTGTCTGCACTCCTGCAGCACGGCGGGATCGGAGATGGCATGGTAAAGCACCCAGAATGCGGCTGGGATAGTGTTGCTCAACATTCCGACGATCTTTCCCACCTCGAGGATAGCAATGTCCTTACCAGCGGCCCCCTGGTCTACCTTGTGCTGGTAATGGGCCTGCACTAATGCTGAGCCTTGTTTATGGCTGCCAGATTCGAAGTAACGATGGAATGCCTCGACGATGTCTTTGCGCGCCTGGACACTCTTTCTGGCCAGTAGATTTGGGTACAGGTTCAGCAGTAAGATAATGATGCCCGGCTCGAAGTTCCTGTAGCATGTAAGAGACAGATGACGGGGGCGAGGAAAAGCACATGCCAGTAAGCTTTATGGATCTCTGGGTCCACGAAAGGATTATTTGGTCCGTATACAGCGTCTGTCGTAGTCTGCGTAATCTGTGCCCTAACAAACTCCATCAGTTTGAGATATTTTGGGCCCTGAGACGCGAGCTCGTTGACGACTCGTAAGACATTTTGTGCAGAATTCGTATTCATGGTGCGCAACCCTGGACATGGAGAGAGTGCCGTATGAATTGCTTTGTCGAACAATACGGCGTAGCTGAAGTCCTCAACTCCATTGATGTTCTTGATCAAGATCTTTTTAGCTGTGGGGCTTGCGCCCATTACGTTGATGGCAACCTTCAATTCCACGGGCACAAAGTCCAGTATACGGTAGTGCTTCTGTGCAACTGGGATGAGCTCTGTGGCATTGACGATGTAGAGTCGCATGAAAGGTAAGCGCAAGGTGTATATGGGAAGATTGAGTTTATCGCTGCAGACAAGTAATCAGCATGAGCGCGGGAAAGCTTTCCAATTTCTACTTGCCAGATGTCAATGTAGAACTTAGCTTTTCTTCGCATTCCGACGACAGGGCCCAAGAAGGGTAGCTCATTCACCAGTGCGACGGGCTCGTTTGCATCTTGGGTGAAGGCAAGCAGGCAGCGTAAAAAAAACATAGAGGCCTATCGCACCAGACGCATACAATACCAAGATTGCCATAGTACTGCTTGGAGATTGAAGCGGTCGAGAAAAAAAACAAAAATTGGGACGTTGAACAATTGAGGGGTGCACTTCTTCGCTTGTCGCATCGTGGCTGCATCGTGTCACCATGCTAAGAAAGTCCCTTCGGGCGAGCTCACTGAAGTCAGCTGCCCTTGCGGTCTCCAACGTCAAGTTCCTGTCGCGTACTCAGTGCTAGCGCAGAATCGAATTAAATTTCTAGTCACCAACTATCTCCGAACGTGGTTGAGGCTGTAGAGCCTTCTGCTACCCGCTCTTGATCGATACAGATGATATCGTCACTAAAGCTCAACATTGGAGCTACTTACCTAATATTGAGGTCACTTGGCATAAGTCTATACGCTGTAATCGCTCACCGAACTCACTTATGAGTCACAAGCAAGTCTCCATGCACTGAAAAGGTGCTGCTTGGAACTGGCTTTCACTTTACCCAAAGTAATATTGACCCGTGCCAAGCAAAGACTCACTTCGAAATGCACCCCAGAACAGTCTTATTGCCTTAAAATGAGCCACACTCACTCACTCACTTGAACCAACCTAGCCTCATGCTAACAATCTTTCGACACCAATCCATACCTTTCACCTTGATCAAGTCCATCAACCCCAAATATCACATCAGCGAACGCCATGATGCCACTCGTTCCTATCATCCTGAATGAGTCGAATTCAGCTCCAAAAATCTTCTACTCGTGGCAAGACCTCCCAACAGAGCTCAAACAAAACCATAATCCTGGACATACCTTTGCAACTCACTGGCGCCATACGAGTCCTCATACATTCATTCCACGTCAAACATGCCCTCCAGAGCCTTGCACTTACCAGCAAAGAGATGCGCTCGATCACCGTACAAGTTTACTAGAGAGTGCATTCACGTTAGAGCCAGTCTTCAAATCGCGCGAACCTGGCCGCGGCACGAACTCTGTTGCGTGCTTGCATGTCCCAAACCTATCATCGGCGCTCGTGCGTAAACTAGACCTCCAACTGCAAGCCGACGATGATTTCAACTTCTTCCCAGGATGCGACGCCTTGAGGGCAAAATCGAACCAGTAGTGGCTGCTCCTTCGACTGAATGCAGGTCCACCGGGATGAAGCTTCAGGACAGACTGGCAGCTTTCCTTCCCGAACCTGAACAGCTTCAATTCGACATTCGATATTCGTCGCGGTCACTGGGACGGAGATCGCGAGCCTGAAGACTCAGCGCAATGTCTCGGGGTGCACAAAACCAACTCTATCACGGTGCCAGGGAGGCGTGGAGAGGAGAAGAATGTCTTATTTTTGCTCTTGAGGCTTGAGTATATGTTGGAAGGGACAGTTGTTATGTTGAATACGCGCCACTTCAGTGTCAAACTCAGTGGATTCGCTTGCGCCGGGTTTGCCAGGACCCAGAAGGCTGTTGGAGTTCAGTGCCCCAATGAGTGCTTTGAGAAGGTTGCTGCGACGATCAAATATGTCTTCAGAGTGAGACGAGCCATTGAAAAATAATTTATCAGTAATATTAGGACGGATGCTACGGTGGGCACGACTGCTGGAAGATATCGATCGGTGGAGGGGACGACCTTAAGTACGGTCCATACATCCATCAAATATGAAGTCATTGAAAGTCGAGTAATCATGTTTCCATGTGATAACGACAGACATGAGATCGATACTGGTAGCAATGCGGGTGAACTGAATGAAGAGTCATACGTCTGAACGTTCCATGATTTACCACCTGCCACTTTCACTGAGTATCTTGAGGTTTTACGAGTGAATGTGAGTTTATATTGCTAGCTAAACTAGCGCGACTACCTAGCGCAGGCCCATTTCCTACAGACTAGCATACTTTTGATTGATGCTTTGCCTTTCTCTCTCCTCACAACCCTCCTGCTCTCACGTGGTAAGCCTCAACTGGAGATCATCACCACATCAACATCAAAACACAACCAAACAGTCCGAGCACCTTTCCTCGAGGTCATCAACATGGATCTTCAGACGCCTACCTTCCACCCGTGGAAGCGACTTCCACAGGAGCTCAAATTCATGGTCCTCCTCCACCGCCTGCTGCTTCCCGGTTTGATCACCGTAATCAATCATCCCAGCCATTCCGCACGCTCGCTGCTCAAGCTCATCCTCACCAACAAGGCAACCAAAGCCATCGCACTGGACGTATACTACGGCGAGAACATGTTTTGTTTCATGCGTAAAAATTCCCCGGATTACTGTCGCCCAGACAAGCTACACTGGGAATGGAAGTTGCCTAACCCTGCGTTTCTGATTCGGGTTCGCAATATTGAAGTCGTGATCAAGGCTAGTGTTGACACAGGATTCAAGATGGCTTGGGATGACAAATTCAGGACCGAGTGGCCTTACCTGTTCTTAGATGAACGCAAGCCTGCAACCGCCCCGGCATCGAACTGGCAGAAACACTTCACCAATGTCACGCAACTGAAGATCGTGGTTGAGTTCGCTCCTCACCCCACCTTGACCTGTCTCGACAGCTGCCTCGCTTCATGTGTCAAGGAAATGAGGGGGTGCGAGTTAAAGTCATGCCTAGGAAAGTCGAAATCGAGGTCAGAGGCTTACACTGTCCTGAAGCATCCAAATGTAATGGTGTTTGTGAAGCGTCAATTACGACTGCAATTCGCGAAGCTGTGGAGATTAGAAGCTGAAGCGCCGAAGATGCATCTCAAACTACTCCCAAGATCACAGAACTGCATGTCGATGATCAAGCTCGGGCAGTTGTGACACGTGGAAGCAAGAGGAAGAGATAGGGAAGTAGGTACTACTGGGTCGATATTGAGATACCGAGCGAGAAGAAGTAACCGAACATGTGCCTCGAGCCAACACATCGCCCATCCATCAAGCTTTAAAGACGGCAAGGTATGTCCTTCCAATCATTTTGAATTTTTCCAGATTCAGACTAAAGAAGTACGCTTTCCCCGTTGACCCACGTCAAAACATAACACCAATCAGCTCACCTCATCCGGCCCCGTTCCAATCTACTCGGTGCTAGTCTCTCCTTGAAGTCACAAATTCGGGACGGAAGAAAGTATCCTGTCTTCAAGATCGATGTGGCGATTTGCGCGGGAGGAGCTCATACCAATGTTCAGTCTACGTGTCAAGAAAAGCAACGTGCGAAGACAGAAGCCTTGAAGCGGAACGGAACCTCGATGGGAAATTACAGAACGATATAGGTCACATCACTGTAGGAACGCCGCCATGAAACCGGATAACTGCCTTGACACTGTCAATTTTCTTCTTCAAGCATCGTCATATCGGTCTATCCGAATGGATGCCTGATCAAGTTGCGATCCAGTCGTTTCAGCACACGTGATCACCCATGTGATGTCGGAAAAGTACCCAAGCGCCTCTCGCATGGCAGTAATGGTGATGATGTCGTTGATGGACTAGACGTGGGATGGAAGTGTACCCGACAACGCGGGGCAGCGCACAGTGGGGCACGACCTAGCGCAGATCTTGTCATATCGCGAGATGCGGCGTCCTCCGACGCTTACTGGCGGCTCGTTGATAGCTCGTGACATCGTGGCGCGCACCTGAAATGCTTCAAATCTACTCCTCCTCCTGTTCACTCCTTCTTGTACATAAAAAGTGACAATGGGCGCGCCAAAAGTTGAGGGCCTGACGCCCGAGCAGCTAGACTTCTTCAACGAGAATGGCTACCTGCTCATCCCAGATGCGCTTTCGCAAGACACCGTGAAGGAGCTGCTCGAAGACACGAACAAGATGCTGAATGACTTCTCGCTGGAAGACCACCCGATGACCAAGTTCTCGACTGGTGGCGATGATGGCGCAGATCACGTTGGCGACGAGTACTTCTTAGACTCCGGCGACAAGGTGCGCTTCTTCTTTGAGGAAGGTACGCACTCATTCCTCTGAGATGACCATGAGATCACGCGTTGACAGTAACCAGACGCCTTCGACAAGTCCGGCACCCTCACCAAGCCAAAGCACCGCGCCATCAACAAGATCGGCCACTACCTCCACGAACTATCACCGTCCTTCCGCGGCATCTCTCTCTCGGAACGCAATGCCGCCATTGCGCGCTCGCTGTCCTTCCGCGACCCACGGGTCCTCCAGTCCATGGTCATCTGCAAGCAGCCCGAGATAGGCGGTGCAGTACCGCCGCATCAGGATAGCACATTCCTGTATACCGACCCGCCCAGCGCCGTTGGCTGGTGGTACGCGCTGGAAGACGCAACGGCAGAGAACGGCTGCTTGAGTTTCGCAGCAGGAAGCCACAAGCGCGCGTCCATCGAGAAGCGCTTCGTCCGCACCGGCAAGGGCACCGGCTTCATCGACAACGACGGCGCGCGCTTCCCCAAGGATCTGCAGAGTGGCGTCAACGGCGCGGAAAAGGACTACGAGGTGGTGGATCAGGAGGAGAAGTACGACATGGGCGAGGTCAAGGCTGGTACGCTCGTCTTGATCCACGGCAATATCCTGCACAAGAGCGAGAAGAACACCAGTGGGAAGAGCAGGAATATATACACGTTCCACGTTATCGAGGGCGATCAGCGGTACGATGAGAGGAACTGGCTGCAGCCACCTGCGACGGGCTTCTCAAAGTTGTATCAAGCCGAAGCGCAGGCTCCCGAGTCGAATCGATTAGGACGTGATTGGTGATTCCGTAGTCCTATGACTTGCTCTGTACGCACAGCGCAATACCACCAAGTACAAACCCCATGCCAATCCACGTATCTGCCACACATTAGCTCATCCAACCCATCTGAACCCCCATTTCTTACCTCGACTAATAACCTTCTTCTCCGCCCACCACTCCCCCAAAACCGTGAACATAAACGCCAAAGAATTCGTAATCGGCACAGTTAAGCTCAATTCCGCTTTCCCTATCAATATGAAGAACCACACGCTGCCCGTCACGTTAAGAAGTAGTGGCACGGCGTATGCGGGTCGGCTGAGCACGCCGCTCACGGCGTACCATATGCCTAGCACTTTCTTCTTGAGCCAGGAATTGCTCGGGTCGGTGAGAGAGGGGCGGGGAATGGGGGTGTAGTTCCTGTTGTGATGTGTTAGAAGTGCTTTGAGCGGGTGTGGGAGGACCTTACATGGCTGCTCGTCGCATGAATGGCGTGGTGAGGCCCCAGCATGCGCCGACCATGAGGAAGCCCAGGATCCAGCGGAAGATAGAGGGTTGAGGCTCATTTGCGGGGGGCGCATTGGAATCCATGATCAGTCCGATATGTGGTCAAGTGTCGATCGTATGCGGCAGGTGGTAGTAATGGTGTTGGTATTCGTGGTTCCTGAGGCGCGGCGCGGCTTCCCCCACAGAACGCGTCCGAGCGCGATTTGCCTCAACACCAAGCGAAGTTCGTGACCTTCGCTCTTCTACACATCACGTCACAATATATGGCCACACCTCTGCACACACTTCGGTGCACCATCACTGCGAGTTACCGTCGATCGATCTGAAAGCATATTTCCAGTGCTGAAACATCGAGTGGAAAGGATCAGCACGATCCCCACCCATCCGCTTCGACTCGTCCTGAGTCTATCTTAAGTCGATCCGCGCCTTCCACTTGAAATGCGTGAGATCTGAGTTCGAAAGTACCTTCGAGTGGCTGAACCATAAGCACGACTTATGAGCGGACTTGCTGGCCATTGTTCCCTTCGGCTGCTGGACCTATCTCAGTCAGGTCTGATCAACCCATGTGACTACGCGGGATATCTGATATTACTAGAGAATTCGGACGTTCCTTGATCGCCGACGTTGGCACTTGACTTTGTGACGCGGAATTGATCAATTGATCCCCAGCTGGAGTGCTTACCCGGATCGCATTCGATATCTTCGTGCAATAACCAAGGGCATCGAAGTCAGATGGCTGACAGTGGACAATTACTCTACACATCGACAAAGCTTGGCTGTTTACCCGTCGACTTGCCTTTCAAGCTCCACGTGTCGTACAGATCGAGGCACACAAATCGCGTCGTATGCTAAGAGTTCACCGGAGGTGGCTTGTTCGTCTCCACGCGGGCGGCTACCAGCAGCCGCAAGCTATATACCCTTAGCCACAGCCCGTAACGCACGTAAGGGAATACAAATCCACGGCGACCTCACATACACCAGTTCAGCCACAACCGCTTCGCCTCGTCCTTCAGACGTTCCACAAGTCTTTATACCGTTTCGCAGATGGTCCCCAGTTGGGGTAGTCTCCGCTGAAGCCTCAAACCTTATGGTACACTACATTACACATTCGTTAGAGACATTAAATTCTTCCGCACAAAGCCACCGGCAGATGTGGATCTAGCTCAGCCTCGAACCACTTCACGTTACTTCACTTCATGTTGACACTGACACTGCTGGACATTCACTACGAACATGTAGGCTGGCCAATGCGGAGCCGTCCTGACTCGACGACTTAGGTGCGGGTACGGGATGAGCGACGTGAAGTGGCGAACAGGCGAACTAGACGGCATCAGCAGGACTAGACCAACGACTTCCTCTTTGACAACAACAACAAGGCCACGGGCGTTTGAAGCCGCCATCACGCTGCCAGATCTCCATCGAAGCGGTCGAAATTTCCGACCTATGGTTGCCATGAGGTATATTCTGACGTCTAAACACTTGCTACTAGACCTACAATGGTTTTGAGTCATACCTTCAGGAGTACTTCGGCCATCTGACCTCAACTATATGCAGGTACTGTTGTTGCTCTCCGACCATGACACGCCAGGTCAGCTGGTTGTGAGTGAGCTTTCCTTTTAAGTAGATTTGCTCGAGATTCCCATCATGGGCCTGTCACGACCGAACGAGGCCATTGGTCATAGCAAAATCGGATCATCGGCAGCTGTTCGAACCACCTCATAACACGGCCCGACCGGGGCGGGCGGACAGACCCACTCCAGTGATTAGGCGATGGCGTCCTGGAAGACAGCTCTTCCACGCGAGACCAATGAGAAAGCACTCCGCTTTCCGATCTGGTAAGTCTGGACAGCATGACGCTCGACGTATATGCGCCTCAGCTTAGTCCATGCACTGTTCCAGCTCTGCGTGGAGCATGCAATCGGAGTCGTCAGTGATGCTCGGCCAAGAAATGCCCTTCATGCCAATCATCTTGCAAAAGACTTGTCTGGAACGCATCAAACTCAACTCAGCAGTTCCAAACGCTGAAAATCACGCCAGCCAGTGGTGTGGAGGATGCGAACCCAGGACAGTGGATGACGTTACGTGGAGTTGCTTCGAAGACCAGCAGGAGCAATGACACTGATTCGACGACAAAGCCCCATGTCAAACAGGTCTTCCAACCCAAACTTCCTCTCCATCATCCTGGACTAGTCCAAACCCAGTAGCCCGCGCTGTAATAGACAACAGAGGACTATAGAGGCAATGGCGTGAAAGTGTGACCTGACCGCATGTGGTGGATTCCACAGAAGCACGGGTATGAGCTTCATGGCCACCAGGTACCTGCAGCCAACGCGAGCCAGTGCCGGCCCCAACCGCTAGACGAAACTTTCAAACCACAAATTCACGACTCGAGATTCGCGTCACCTCAACGTCCTCTGACCGAGCATCTGGTTCTGATGCGGGTCAAACGTGCAATGCGTTCCACAGCGTCATGTCAATCAGGAACTGGGTGGAGATGCGCGATGCGCGATGACCCTACCAATAAGCTAGTACTGACACACTGGCAGGTATCTTTCATCCGTTCTCCCGGGTCATGGCTAGTCTTCTCTGCTGTCGCTTCTCTTGCCTATCTGCTTTCCCGGACCCTGGCCGGACCTATCAGATAATTCTCCACGTCAAGTTTCTCTTCACTACGGTGGCCTGACAGCCACTGCTTGCGGTGTTTGCGACATCTGCATTCCAGACTTTCGGTAAATCGAGGTGGCGGGCTCGACTGCACTCTGCGATGCGCCGTCGCAAGACATGTTCACTACAACAATCCGCGGATGCTACTCGTAAATGTATCCCCCACTTGGAAGTGGCGCGTGATCTCGACCCGCATCAGCACTTCCAAGGTAGCTCCAGTCTCTGCAGCTTTGAAAGTTCAAAGTGTCTACAAAGGTGTGACACTACCGACAAAGGGAAGCGCGATCGATTGTGCGACGCGTCCCGCGGGCCGGGCAACATGCCCAAGGAATGCAACCCAGCCATCGGTATGTGGCTGCGTTCAGCACGCCCAACCCCTGTGCAAACTCGTCACGGACTGCCCAACCACCCCAGATTTCCAGAATTGGTGTTTGATACTTTCGGCGGTGCAAACACCGCAAAATGTCCTGAAACATAAGGGTTGTGGCTTAGGTCATCCCCCATTCCGCCCTCATTCGCTAAGTATAGTTCGATACATGCAGGAATGTGCTCAATGAAGCGGAGGTTGGCCAGGAACTCCTCCCAATGAGTGAATGCAGTATATATCAAGTATGGGTGAGTTTGTTTAGCTTGCCCATCATACTGAATCGGTGCATAACACTTGATCTTGCAGATCCACAGCTTTCGCGGCGCATATCCACTATCCACACAGGACGCATCCTATTCGTCGACCTTCGCCACTCCTATCGTCCCAGATAGCTCCTAACAGTAACCTTACTACCAACGGACTGGAACGCGAAGCACGTGAAAGACACTCCATGACCTCTCTACTACGAAGCTCATCCGATCTACCAATCCGGCGCTTTAGCGACAAAGAGATGGACACCGTCGACTTGGACCAACTATTTGAGGAATACGTTGAGACAGACTTTCTCCAGCATTGCAGTGACCCAGTAGTGGACCGTTCCAGCTCTGAAGATCTTGCACGGCTCTTTGATCTCTCGTCGACGAATGAGAGCGCGGTATACCCAAGCACGCCTATACTCCATCAGGACGAGGATATGGCTTGGCAGCAGGCTGTCCAGAAGAGTGGACAAAACCCAGCCTTGACCGTGTCTAACGATTCCTTCTCATTCCGCGTTGACGCAAAAGGCAAAGAGTCGCTCAGTGATTCGGAACTTCTTAACTTTGAAGATCTCTTCGACTCGGAACGAAACCAATTGCGCTCCTACTCACAGCCTTCCACACCACGACCTCACACTACAAAGGCTATCAAGAAGGCTGTCTCCTTCCACCAGGACCACTCACTTGTTCGTGGTATTCACAAGTTGTCGAGAAAAACCTCAACCCCCGCCTTTGCAAAGATGATGCAGCCCTCGTTTTATCGATCACCCATCCCGGACGTATGGTCGCGCAAGATGGAAGCAACAGCAGATGCTTACAGCATGAGGGTAGCTCCTCATGGCATCACATCGCCGCCTCCATCATCGAAGCTCACTCATCACGAGAATTCGAGTGGTTTCTTCAGTCAACATGCGCAGCCTTACGCAGAGGATCAATCGCCCCTAGCCAGCCCTACCACCAACCACAACGGCATGAACTTTGCCAACTACCAAATCACACCACAAGCATCGCCAGCAATTGGTATTTCGAACAGTAATAACAACAGCAACAACGACCCGTTCAACGACAACATGGGCCTCACTTTCAGTTCATCAGTGTCGAGTGCGGCTCTTTCAGCCTTACAGACCCCGCCCTCCTCACTTCGCATGCCCATGACGACGTGGGGTCCAACCGACACATCACCCGCCATGGACTTTGGATTTTCAGCCTCGCCCGACTATTCCACCACCAAGACTGCTGGCTGGTGGGACAACACTGACGCCGCAGCCGTCGGCCCCACATACCGCGAGTCAAATCAACGAACCACGAGCCAATATAGCAACGGCTCGATGGAAGGACTCGGGATATCCTGCGACAGCGCATCGTTTGGCGACTTTGGCGTCGCCGGTCTGGGCATCAGTAATGGCAATGGAGACGTCAGTGTGTCTACGCACCACTCAGCCCCAGCCTCGTTCGACCTGGGACACCCACAACAACACTACACCACTGCGTATCCTCAACAACACAACCACATCGTGCCCATTGGCCACCGCCCACATTCACGCACTCCATCTCCTAACCCCCAGCCACAATTCCATCGCCGTCGACCTTCATCACAGACCCTCCGCCATCAGGCAAGCCATCAAAATCTCAACGCTGCGCGCAGAAAATCGAGCGCGGCGGCTCCACGACAGGCGAGCACGCCGAATGTAGGCTTCGTCAACTTCACGCCGCACGATAGCCGCAAGATCTTGACGGGCGTGGCGCCGAGCGGGAGTAGCAAGACGAAAGCGCGCCGCGAGAAGGAGGCGGCTGAGAAGAGACGGAAGTTGAGCCAGGCGGCGATGAAGGCGGTCATGGAGGCGGGTGGGGATGTGGATAGTTTGAGGAGATTGGAGAGGGAGGGGTTGTTGGTGTTGGAAAATTGAAGTTGAGTATGTGGATTTATTGATAGGGATACCATTGAGATGTACAGATGCACAGATAGGATAGGATAGGATAGGATGGTGGTTAATAAGTATAGCACGAGAATGAAGATAGCATGTATCGTAATACATTGAACAGAGAAGTTTTAAATTCATCACTTCTATCATCAGTCTTCGTGCTTCCAATGTGCTGTGTTGTGTTGTGCACGTGATTCGCGCATCGAGTGCCAGCTGTCGCGGACATGGCAACGCCACCATAGTTTTCCGCTTCACCTGCCCAAGAGATCTCAAAGTGTCTGCCAGATCATCTCAAAAACATGATTCCGTTCCTTCCCCACACCTACATTGTGGACCCGATTCGCGCCCTTCGGTCCCGCACGTGTCTTTGAGCCCATCCCTTCGGCTACATGCACCCACAGCCCCATCAAGTATAGATCTTTGTTACAGATATTTTCTTTGTTCTCAGCCCCCCGCCTCGACCTCTAGCCTACCCAACACCGCCTCGACAACCCCCTTGGCGCCGACACCCTTATCCACGGCGCCGAGACTGCGCTCCTCAGCCTCCATCTCGACGGCGCCCTCGTAGACTTTGACAATCATGTCTTCGTCGACGCGCATGCCGCACGCCACCAAGCCCTTGATCAGGGAGCTGACGCGCGTGATTTCGCGCATCACCGCGGGCTCGATGTCGTCGTTTTGGCTTGAGTAGAGCGTTTCGCTGACGCCTTCGTCCAGGCGGTTGATACTAACATCCTCCGCGGGCTTGATGTGTTTCGAGATAAATATGTACCCGTTGACGCCCAGCACAACGTCAATTTCGCCCGCCGCAGTGTTGAGTGTGAAGACTTGCCGCCGGCTCCTGACGACGCCGCCTCGGCGCGATAATATGCCCCCGCCGGCACCGCTAAGACTGGTGAACAGTCCGTTGCGCAGTTTCCCGTACTTAAGCGAGCGCGTGTGTAATGAAGCCGTGTTGTCCTGGTGTAGCGACTGAACTTCGGCGACGAGCAAGTCGCCCTCGGAGAAGAACGTGCGGATGTTGAGCTCGTCGACGGCAGTGCGGCGGCGCAAGATGCCGCCGGGCAGGTTTATGCTGCTGAGTGGGAGGCCTGCGAGCATCGGTGCGGCAATGTCGACGCTCCATTTCTTCGTCTGCACGCTGACGATGCGGCCGACGACTAAGTCCCCGATCTCGGGCTGGTAGCGTGCGCGCAGCGGTTGGACGGAAAGCAGCTTGTTCGTCTTGTGCATGTGACCTGCGACTGTCGAGATGATGGTTGTTTCGCCGGCGGGGATGTATGTGCCGTGGCCGCGCATCCATTGCGGATCGCTGGTGATGTGCTCGCCGGGTGTGACTATGGCGTTTGTTTGAGAGGTTGGCATGTCGTCGTCGGACATGTCCATGTCGGAGTCGTCTGCTGGCGCATCGCGGCGGGGTGGCAGTGGTGCGCTGGGAGGGAGAATTGAGACGGGCATTGTGGCGGGTGAAGCCTATTGCGGACGCAGCTCTTCCTTCCGTGTCTTTCTTATTGACTTTGTGGGAGCGGTGAGCTTTCGTATGTGCGCAAAAGGCTCATTCGCGAGGCCGTCGGTGGTGTTGAAGCTTGGGAAATTTTGGCGGGGATTTACTTTGCAGGGATGAGCGCCCGAGCTTTGACGCGTCAAGCTCCGTGGCAGTCGCGACCGACAAGACGTCATCCCATCAACATTCGCAACTCCAGTCTCCTTCGCCGCCACCTCATATAGGAGTTGCTTGTATATCCGACCTCTCAGACACGCCCGGCATGCCACCTGCTCCCTCTCCTAACGCTTCCAACTTCCATCAACCCTTTATATCAGCCCTGGACTCCGCTGCACCAATCAACGCGCAAGATGACCCGAATTACTACTCGCGGTATCCGCGCTCACTCATCTCCTCCTCCAACCTTGACACGTTCGTGACCGGCACCGGCTCTGCCGTTTACGAGTCTCTGCTACCTCTTCTTGAAAGTACAAGTCATGAACTCATTCTCGTCACATGCTTTTGGGCGCGTTCGGAAACATTGGGACACCCTGAACGAACTCTTGCGCCAGTTGTCTACCAAAGCTATTCACCGTGGCACTGATAAGATCCGAGTGCGATTGTGCTTTTCCTCACTATCTATCTTCCAGAAGTTATTTCACAAGCAAAACGTCACCGGGCAAATATACCCACCTGAAGTATGGATGAACAAGTTGGGCTTGCCTGATCCGAAAGAGCTGGGTGGTCTCGACCTCAAGATAAAGAGCGTCTTCATCTTGCCTTTCAGCGTCATGCATCCGAAGTTCATCATCGTCGATCGGAAGAATGTTATCCTACCGAGCTGCAACATCAGCTGGGAAGAGTGGTTCGAGGGCGCAGCATTGATGAGCGGACCCGTCGTAGAGCAATTCCTCCAATTCTACTTTAATTTTTGGGAACGCAAACAAGAAGTGCCGGCAGTGAATTGGAACACTGCATCGCACGACGAAAATGGAACACATGAGAACACCCCAAGAACGACCTCACTCAAATCGAAAGCCGATCTGACTGCCAGCAATGTTCCTACGATTTTCTTGCCGAGTCCACATAGGCGCAATCCGCGACTGAATCCGTTCTCAAGTACAGACAATATGCTCGCACCACCTACTCCACTCAACACTTTCATACTCACACTCTTCGCGCGAGCCGAGCGCAGCATCAGAATCCAAACGCCGAACGTCACCGCTCCTCCCGTCCTTTCTGCCGTTCTGGCAGCACTGGCACGAGGCATCGATGTGCAAATTCTGACATCCGAACGACTCATGATCTTAGAGCAGCTCGTCACCGCAGGCACCACAACATCGCGTTGCATCAACAAACTCATCAAACGGTACGAAAATCTCCAGTCGCGCCGACCCATGAGCGACGAAGAAGCAGCCATCGCTCCATCAACGCCAGGCCGCTTGCAGATTTCGTTTTTCGATCCGATTGGTGGGCCGAAAGGAAGAGGGAGGGAGGGCGGCGAGCCACAGCAGAGTCATCTCAAGATGACAATTGTGGACGATGAGGTTGTCGTGCTGGGCTCGGGGAATCTGGATCGCGCAAGTTGGTATACTAGTCAGGAGCTGGGTGTTGCGTTCTTTGATAAAGATTTGGTGAAGAAGATCGGTGGAGCGGTTGATGAAGGTATGGGAGGGAGGAGTAGGGCTGTGTTTGACAGCGAGAGAACATGATCATGACGGAAAGCGTATTCGTTCGTCGCTTGGCAATCTCAACATGTCTACGTGACCAAAGCTGAGTCGTCGCATTCCTCACGAAGGAACTCACACATCATCCGGATAATGGTCGCGAAGATCTCGCAGATATGCCTCTTTGTTCAGCGCGTCGGGCCAACTGCACTTCTTGAGTAGAGGTCCAACCACCTGAAGAGCGTGAATCAGGAGGAGTACATTGGCGATATATCATATCAATTTTACCAGTACTGGCGTATTCACGCCATGTAAAATAGCACGATAACAAGTGCACTTTCCCTTCGGCATCAGGACGTACTTCAACGATTTAATCTTAGCATAAACGCCGTCGAAATACTCTTGCACATTTCTTAGACGCGCCAGTTGTCGCCATGGCTCGGTACCAGGCGCCTCTCTATCCACCATTGCACCACCGCATGGATAAATCACGCCTTTGGCAATCAGCAAAGTCGTAGCCGTCAATACATTGGCCTTGTTATACCTGCATCTTTATCAAGAACCCACCACAACCCCTCCCTCCTTTCCGTTAGCGACATAAACGTCTGAGGCCGCTCCGCATCAGCCGGGAAAAGGCACATGTCTCCCAACGTGTGCCCACGGCACGATTCAATTGTTATACGTCGGGAAACTTCCCCATTGCGAAGATACACAATACAGCTTGTCTCCTCGAGCACCTTGTAACAACCGTGACCATCTAATTCTTTGATAAACGGCAGGTGACACAGTAAATTGATCACGGTCTCTGATCTTTTGAGAAAGCGCAGAATGTCGATCGCGAGCTGGTCGTCGCTGCAGCCTGAAGGTGGGGGGTTTGCAGCTCGATGGGGTCCAGGTAGGCTGCAGAGATGACGCGGTTGCAGTGCAGCTTTACGAAAATGGTCATAAAGTTGCGTTTATATGGCATAATGTATTGTTATCAGAAGTTAGAGGTGCTGTGGGAGACAGGGAGTATGGGAAGGTGGTTTTCAAGAATTTACGCGAGACCTGATGTAGCTCCGAGCAAGTTGTGGATGATAAGGCTTCACGCATAACGATTCTGTTCCCGGTATCAAGGTGTTGAAGACTTAATCATCGATATAGTGTACTGGAAGTCCTAAGAGTTGCATTACGTCACTGTCCACATCGTCACTGCACTCCATCGAACTGGCATGAAACAGCTAGATACTGCTTATGTTATTACTCAGTATTGCTTCGCCACATTGGTCATTGACGTGCAGAAGTTGAGATAGCCTGAGGCTGGGCGGCGTAGCATCAGTGCGGCTCACGGTCACCATGGATTTGCACATTCCTACTAGAGTTGCTTCTTCACTCATGGCACATGGTGCTACTCCGGTAAAGCCGAACACCAGCAAAGCCACGTATCGAAGCATCCGTACGGAGATTCTGAATCGAATTTGAACGGATGATGCCGGCGCAACGCATCGAGATGCGTATCTCTTTGAAAAGCTTCGGGCCAACCGCGTTGCAGGAACAACTTCTTCAAGACCTGTCCCGTGTATTAAGCACGAGCTTTATTACCCTTCCTCGTAGCTTAAGATTGACCTGGCCTTCTTTAAATTCCCCAAACAAGATACGATCATATCCACTATGAAGGCTCTTGTTCATGGGGACCCTGCTCAAAATGACGATATTGTTGTGGAGTGCTTCAAAATACTCCTGAAACGCTTAAGGGTAGGCGAATGACGGCAGGGCTGATATTCTGGTGCTTCGTCGTTCAATTTTGTATGTACTGCAGAAAATGTGAAACCTGCAGCAACGATCAATTGGCTTTGCTGTATGGACCTGCACGATTTGGTCTCATACCTTCGTCGATCCACCAAGTCGCCTCTCGGCCCTCGGTCAAAGAGATGAATGAAGAAGGACAGGTAGCGTCTTCTGGCATGAGAAGAACATCATTGTGGTCGATGCTTTTGCCGACACATGGGTCTGCAGCAATGCCTTTCGAACGCCACGAATAACGGAGGTAATTGATTGGCACCGCTTCGACGAGGAACTCGAGACGTTCACCGTACGACTCTCTTCGGAAGTAGGGTATGTGGCGTAGAAGATCTATAACTCTTTCGGTGCGCCCGAGACTGCGTACGCCGTCGACTACGAGCTGCTCATCACTCCATCCTTCCGGCGGCGAGGATTCGATCGTGTCTGGATCTAGATACGCCACATAGACAAGAAGATTGTATTGTCGTTTGATGCAGTAGATGAGAATGTCACGATCGGAAGCCATGTTGAAACAAATGATGTGAAGGCTGCCGAGAGGTGGAATGGCGCAAATTTATTCACAAGACCTACGCGAAATCTGACGCAGCTTAGAGCACAATGCAAGCTAGCGGCGCAGTCAATATGCAAGAGAGCCTTCTGCCATTCTCACACCAGGTGGCCTCGACGATGCAAATACAGCCACCGAAGAGACGACACAATGATCACATTCTCAAGGCTGCCTTACGAACTTCGCGTCCAAATCTGGGAATCGACCGTTGAGCCACGCGTGGTCAATGTTACAGTCAAGTGCCGTCCTTTAAGGAAATATGATCCAGACGAGGACCGCTCCAACTACCTGAAGTCTTCCAGAAGAGTTCCCGTTGTACTGCATGAGTGCCGGCAGTTTTGGAATCTCGAACTATATCAGAAGGGCTTCTCTGGGGTAGCCACGCTCAGACTTGGCTTAAAGTCAATAAGCATTAAACTGCCTGTTTTCGTGCAGATTTGCTGAAAAGACGACACTGTGGGATACAGATACGGCTGGTTGAACTGGGATCTCGACACGATTGACATTGGCCCCGCGCCGTTCAAGTGGCTCAAGCTGATTGCGCATTTGTTCCAACGCCTCATGTTTGTAGCCGACTTCTCGTGCGGCGGGTCCTGGCATTTTGACTTTCACAACATCCAGCTGTTTCGCGATGTGAAAGATATTCACGTCCGTTGCACAGAGCCAAGCGGTCCGTGTGGGTGGTAATAGGTCTTTGAAGGTTTACATTAGTGTCCCTGTGAGGACGAAAACATGTACTTCATTGATCAGCATTCTGGGCACATATGTTGAGGCGAGATGGGCATTGATGAAGCTGTGCAGCTGCCGGCGTCACAACGAATTGTATAAATTGATCGGTGTTGTTCTGCGCAAATCTAATACTGGTGTATAATCAGGAGAAGAAACCTGCGCCTTCGAACTGACTTTGCGCGTCCTGCAATGTTGCCAGAGCGCGTTGCGACGAGCTGCACTAGCAGCTCAACGACCTTCTCGCTAAACTTTGCATTTCGTGTCTCCACGTCTCCACTCACTCAGGGTCGACGACTTAATGCTAGCGATGTGAATTCAATGCTTCGTATGATGTAGCATTGATAATATCATCTGAGAAGGTGGAAAGATCATGGCGGCTGATGACTGCCTCTGCAGTCGTCCAGCCAAGCTCAGTTGGCAAGCGTTCATGTTCTATTTCGATATTTAGCACTGGAAGAACGAAAGACGAGAATAGGAGGACATACCGAAGAAGTACTCCACGAAGTCCCGCCTTGCTGTCTTCGCTGTCTTGTTGCCAAATACCAGCATGTATCCAGCCCCTTCACCCGCACTGAACGCACCAGCTAGCTCGGAGAGGGCGAATTGTGGATTATGCTGGACGGACTCGAGCATGCGGGCAAGACGAGCATTGGCGACCATTTGGATGTTGATCAAGTCTTCAGTCCAGTAAGAGCGCGTCTGGTTGTACACGGTGGCATTGAAGCTGATGACATCATGGGTGAAGTAGTCGTCTGAGCGACTGCAGCAAGGTCTCAGGTCAGTATTACGTTCACGAGTATTCCCGAGGAGTAGTTTCGCACCTCAAACTAGCATCATGCTCCAGAATGTTGTGATTGGCGAGGGTGTCAAGCCCCCACGTGGTCGTGTTCGGACCGGGGTTCGTTGTAAGCGCGAAGTTGTACAACAGCTCTGCGATCTCTTCGCTGACATTCACACCTGTCTTGAGTGCATGCTTAACAGTGGGGAGCGTGAAGTTGCGACCCTCACGGGGGAGGAAGCCGTGGTTTGCCAGTGTGTTCAGCATGGGACAGGGCCCTCGAGCTAGAAGCGATCAGTGAATTGTTGTTAGAAAGGGTCAATGGGCTCATCACGTACATTCTCCCGGCCCAGCTGGGTGCCAGTCTGATACAGAGCCCTGCGCAATGGCACGGTTCAAAGTGGCGAGAGCAACAGGAATAATGAACGATGCGCGCATTCTAGTGATGGAGTGATGCGCGAGGAAAATTTGGTGATATTTGAGAGTGGGACAGAAGCGAGTCGTAGTGATTGATACCGTTGGGTAGTGACTAGACAGGCTATTTTATAGTCATGAATATGAGCATTGCTCTTGCGCAGGGTTCGGCCATCCGCTTCGCCTATGTTAAGACAGCTTCGCCCTCCCTGAACCCATTCCATAGTGTTAATGACGTGGACAGCTTCCACGCGAGGCCCGGCTTAGGTCGTCTTGCGAAGCGATTGTACAGAGCCGGCAGGTAGCTAGCGGTGAGGCGGTTTCGCCTGTGCTACCGAATATCGCACAGTAGCTGATAGGCCAGAGTTCAAAACTGTGGAGAAGGACCTTAAATGATTTGCAACCACCGCCTCTTCAATGGCTGATGTTAGCAAGGGTTGGCCTCGACCGAGTTCTTGTTGCCGCCGTTCGGGAACTGCAACGGGCCCCAGGTTCTTTCAGGATATTCGGAACGTCAAGTGAGGTACCTACTGATGTACCACAAAACTCTAGTGATGCAGACAACGAAAGAGCGATACACATTATGACAAAACAATTTCGGAGACAAATCCCAAAAACTGCCAGAGAGAGTTCACAGCATATGTGGTAACACGCGAACAGGGCTCTCCGAAGTAGCAGAGTTTGCGAACGTAGTACCAAGGGTATCTGCCATTGGGAGAGACGCGCGGACTAGCGAGGTTCGCCTCAAGGCTACATGGTCGGAAAGCCAAGATCTCCACGTTCCAGTCGCGCCGCGATGTGGTGGCTCGTTTTACTTGACGGTCAAATAGGATTGATGTCAGGGAACGGGTGGAAGCAGGCCGCGAACCATGCAATGCGGAGGTTTCGATTGCGGTACGCACTATGCCGTGGCGCAGCCCTTCGGTAGTGGTGTCATTGATTGTCATCGCACAGAAAAGGCTTCGCCAGTGCCCACCGGTGAACAAGCACTGGTATGTAGCGCTTAATTTACCGATCATCCGCCAGGGTTAGCGTTCTCGGAACTTACTAGGGTACGAAACAACCTGGATGCCACGACGCGTGCTTGCACGGTTCGAGATGCCGATGCAATCCTTAAGCTGACCAAGAAGCTCAGCATCAGGCTGTGCAAGAGAGGGGTAGAAAAAAAATCAAGAAGTGAGAAACAAATGGATGATGGGGACCTGAATGATCAAGAAACCAATAAGGGCGAGCACAGAGGCTCGCGGCTTTCTCATGATAGATACTCGTGCACTGCAAAACGTTGTTAAGTAGTTTTTTCGATGAGGAAGACTGCGGCCCCTTCGACGCACGCGTTGTCTAATTTCGAAAGCTTTCGACCCTCAAGCAGATGCCAAACGGTTTCCAAGGTCGCACCTTGCTCACTGGACCTCTTCGGAGCAACCTGCGCAAGTGCAGAAATGAATGCATCCAGCGCAATCCTCATCATGGTCGCATCATCTGTCTTTGGGTCGCAAAAGGCATACAGCAGATACATGCGGCCTCGCTTCAACTCCGTTGGTATGGCGTCGAGAACTCGCCTCAGCGAACCGTCCGTCGCGACCGTTGCACAATCTTCAATCATCCTGATACCCACACGGCCCATGATTTGTTTTCCTTCACTCTCGTCTTGATTCCCTCGCGCAAGTATCGCGAGCTCAACATGTTTCCTCTTCGTCATTCCTCCATTTCTGATTATGTCTACCACCAACTCTTCCGCCTCTTTCGTCGTCGTCGCTAGTCCCGCCTGCTGCAAGCCGTCCACGTCGCTTATGACAAATTCTCGCATGAAGAGATGCTCCAACTGTATTGGCGCCATGCGTATAGCAGAGCTGGTTGCTGTGCGAATGTCCTCAATTTCTGCATCTGTGAGTTGATTCGAGAGTTTGAGCATCCTCATCATGAATGCGCCTTTGGCCTTCATGTATTCGTGAATCTCCATACCGCTGCATGGGTACTGGATCAGCCAATCGTGCGTGGATCCAATGAAGCATGGCCCGAGTCGCTGGCTCACCTCGCCGCAAGCTCCGATTTGAGAGCGCCATACTCCCGTCGTAAACCCTCGTCATCGCGCAACAATTCCCTAACAGCAAGATGGTTCCGCAACGCAGCAGAGCCTTCGATACAGACGTACAAATTGCGGACAGGTAACTTCTGCGGCGCACGAAATGCATGTCGGTCCGGAATACCCAGCTCGCCCATGTATATGAGCTGCAGATCAGGATGCTGAAGCGCTTCGAGAACGGGTTGCAGTTGTTCCTGGGTCGCGACGACGTCGATGTCTAGGATTGGCTTTGCAGCTAGGCCTGGGATGGATGTACTGCCGACATGCTCGATGGACACGAACGGCACGCCGTCGAGGCCCGCTTCCAACTCTTTCTTAATCTGCGCTAAGTCATCGGCCCAAGCAGGATCGTAAGACAACACTGTGATGGGCATCTTTGTACCTTGAAATGAGGGTAGCAAGGTAAGGAAGAAGATGCAGATTGCTGTTAAACGCGCTGTTGCGACGTACTCAGCGCTGTTGGAACAAGAAATTGCGATACGATAGCGTATACTGCTCTAGACCTCGCCCGGCAGCGATCACTAATCTAGGGGCGAGCTCGCGACGTCTAACATGAGAAAGTTTTGGGGGACTTGAGAGAAGATAAGAAATTGGCAACCACGGGCTGGAATCCGTGAAGCCCGCACGCCTAGTGCTGGCGACGTCATGGGTCCACGACACGTCGGTAGTGGCATAAAGATTTGCTCCGGTGTGGAAAATAGTCCACAACCCGCGATTGGTTGAGTGCAAATGTAGATGCTAGCTGCATGGAATGCTAGCACCGAAAAGAGACAGCATTGAACTCGGGGTTAACCAGAATGGAGCATAAAAAGCATCAAGTCGCCAAAGTTGTGATCGATATCATCACCATACCTTCTCGTTATTGCTTATTTCTAGCATCTACCAACAACCAAGCCATCATGGTCCCCCAAAGCAACGACACGTTCTCTGTTCGTCAGGCTGGTGCTTATCGTAACCTGCCGACCTACCCATCCGTCTCTGGACTCACCGCAATCGTCCCCGGTGCCACGGGAATCTCAGGATGGAACACAATTCGCGCCTTGCTCGATGCCCCGACCCGATGGACCAAGATTTACGCCATGTTTCGCAGTCCTCCAAGCAAGGCGCTGACAGACCTTCTCTCTCGCGAGCAACAGTAGCGTATCCAGTATCTCCCTATCGACTTCTCGGGCAGCGCAGAAGATATTGCGAAAGCCCTAGCTCCAGTTCGAGAGTCTGACCCCTATGTGTTCTTCTATGCCTACATGCAGCCAAAGACTGGAGCCCATGAGGCCGTATGGTCTAATGTGGAGAAGCTAGAGGAACTTAACAGCCGGCTCTTGGCCTCCTTCCTGCAAGCCCTTGAGCTCGCGAAAATTGCACCGAAACGCGTCCTCCTGCAAACTAGAGACAAAAATTACGGAATGTAGCTCGCTCGAGCACCGCAACCTTGTGTCGAGTCTGATCCTCAACCACGACACCTGGGGTCTAACTTCTACTATCCTCAAGAGGATAGCCTAACCGACTATTGCAAGCGACACCTCCAGACATCATGGAATATGATTCGTCCATTTGGGGTCATCGGTTCAGCCATCAAAGCGCAGATGAGCGGACGATATCTCTTCTGCGTCTACGCGGCAGTACAGACCCACAAGAACGAGCCTCTATATGTTCCTGGCGACTTCACAACCTGGCAAGGCCCGACCCCCATGTCGACAGCGCGCTTGACTGGCTACTTGAGTGAATGGGCCGTGCGGCACGATGCCTGCGAGAATCAGGCTTACAATTCCATCGACTCCAATTCCATGACGAATGGACGATTCCTCGCTGAGCTTGCGCGCTAGTACGGTAAGGACAAAGGTGCCGTCGGCCCTACGGACGACACTTCCAAATTCCAGAAGACAGAGCTAAAAGGCGGGGAGCAATCGCCTCTCCGGTGCGGCCCTCCTCTTGTCTCCAGCTCCAGCTTTAAGATGCTCGACTGGGCGCAAAAGTAGAGCAACAAGACCGCGTGGAAAGAGATAATGGAAGGTTCCGGAGGCGCCATTACGACCAATCCCTTCGAAGAAGATGTAGTGAAGGAAAACTTCTAGCTGCTTGATATTTACTTCTCGATCGTGGCCACTGCAAGCATGGACAAGGCCCGACGACAGGGGTGGACTGGGTTTGCGGATACTCTTGAGCCGGCGTTCGAATCGGCGCAAGAGCTGGTCGGCATGGAATTGTTGCCGCCACTCGTTGCGGAGTCTGCCAAGCCCCTGATCTGATAAGTGGAGTATAGAGTTCGATATGTTGCGCGTTCGTTCGGTGAGACTCTTCTTTCCAAGCAATTTGCTAAAGCACGGCCTGCATGGTCTGCTTACCATAGCTGAAAGTTGGACGAAGGATCTCCAGGGAGAACCAGGCGGTATAGATAGCATTTGCTTGAATTTGTTGCCACAATATTGAACAGTTTGTCAACGTCTATTTTCTAATATGATGAGGTGCTGATCAATTAATCCATGCAGGTTTGTAAAATCACCGCCCGCCGGTGACGTCGTAATCAATGCAGAGAAGCTGTTTCGTCTCGCGTAGTGCTCGTCCGACAATGCCGTGATAGCTTGGGAGTTTCCTGAAACGCTGACAAGCGCAGGCGGACTATTTCTCTGTCGCAAACCTCACGATGTCTCCGTCTTTCGACACTCGCTTTGCAGCTGCACACAAGAGAAATGGCTCTACTTGCTGACTACGCTAGACTCCCACTAGTACATAATGCATGACGACATAAGCGCGTACTTCAGATTAGTCTAGTCGCGTGAACCACGTGTTCCCCGGAGCATGAGACGAGATAACCACTCAACTACAACTCCAGCGATAACTCCGGTGATGACACGATCAACAAGAGCCGCCGCAAGGGTGACGAAGCAAGTCACAAGTAACGCGGCTAAGAGGAGGCATTCCCAATCTACTGTCGATGAGAAAACGATCAGCAAGCGTCAAGCACCGAGCCAAGTTACAAAGAAGAACGTTGTCAAACACCCCGCGAATGAAGACTTGAGCAGTAGTGAAGTCAAGGTGAAAAAAAACACAGCGAGCAGCGACGCCATAGCGGACAAGAAGTGGAAATCCTGGTCCGCCAATGCAACCTCAACGCCCTACCCCGACTTCGGCCACCCCACCCCCGAAGAATGTCAGATCGCCCACGACGTCTTATATAAACTTCACAATGATGCCGTCGAAGCCGAATTCAACGACGAGAATACGCCCGAGACGATCCCCTTCGTGCTGGACGCCATGCTGGTCGCGGTTCTCAGCCAAGCCACGAGCTGGAGCAATGCGAAGCGCGCCATGAACAGCATGAAAGCGACCTATGGCTCCGTCTTCGCATACGACGCAATCTTTTCCGGCGGTCCCGAAAAACTGCAAGATACGATTCGTTGCGGTTACGGGCTGCACATCCGCAAGACGAAGATCATATTCTCGATACTGGAGGATGTGAAAGCGCGGTACGGCCGCTGGAATCTCGATCACTTGCTGGGACGAGAGCGATGAGGAAGCGATGAAGGAACTCATGAGCTACAAGTACGTTGGGCCCAAGTCGGCATTTGTGGTCATGGGCTGGTGTTTGAAGAGGAACAGGTTCACGGTGGACACGCACGTGTATCGGATTGCGGGGCTATGGGGGTGGCGGCCAAAGGAGGCGGACGCGCGAGAAGACGCAACTGCATTTGGATGCGGTAATTCCGGTGGAGCTGAAGTTCAAGTTGCATTTCTTCCTGATTCAACATGGACGGACGTGTCCAGCGTGTCGCGGTGGCGCAAAGAAGGACCAGAAGTGCAAGGTCTCAAAGGAGATAAGAAAGATAGCTTAAATTGCATATAAAAGCAAAGAAATGGTAGCTTCTTAAGCCTAATTTCTATAACATATCAGTGTTGTAGAGAAAAATCATTAGGTTATATAGTTTCTCTAATTCTAATCTTAGCTTAGGCACTCTATCATTAGCAATATTAATTTTAGATTAATTTCGACTTTTTTGTAGCCTATGCACTGCGTATACTAACTTTTATACTACGTATACTTCGGGGGAATGACTTGTTGTAGTGTTCTTGAATGGAGACCGCGCTTCTGCGTAGACGTAGAAGATAGGTGGCGGTTGCGTAGGGGGGCAAAGCTTTATTTCACAGCCAACAGCCACTTATTGAGGCTTCATCGCAGATTCCCGTATACTCTGACGAAACTCTAACAGTGTACGAGGGAAAGGGTGGAAGTTAGGCATCCTAAGAGTCCAACTTACGGTGGGTGGTATGCTTCGCGCAAATTGGGAGCAAAGTTCGAATTGAAACATGCGTTATCTGAACGCTATATGTTCTATTATATAACAGCGGGCCTTGGCAGCTGCCGTATTCGGGATAGAGTTTAATACAGCGCCGCGATATGTCTGTTTGAAGAACGTGGGTTCGTAAGTTTAAAAAAGCCTTAGGTCTAGGACCAGTTCGTTACATGAATGATGATTATGACGTGGAAGGCCAGCTATAGCCTTATGTTTAGGAGAATAGGAGTTCGGGGTTAACATCGATTATCCCTTTTTAGCCCACCTTTGTCGTGAGCTCGTTGTGTACCTTGTTACAATTTTTCTAATCAGTACTTTCCGTAGAGTAGATACTGTTTGTAAGCATCTTAAAGCAGCGCTGTCACGCGCTCTACGTTGGACAAGTTGCTGACGGTGACCTGCATGCTATCTTATCGTAAAGTGCGGGGAGTGCGGCTGAATTCGAAAAAAGATCCTCAGCTCTACGCCGAATATCCCACAACCGCTCGTTGCTCCTACTCTGCGCTACCGGATACACAAGCTACGGAGTGCCGATGAGATGGCTGATCTCCCGACTTTAATCTTCGTGCCTGGCGCATGGCATCAGCCAACATGCTACAACAAGATTATCGAACTGCTGCAAGACAAGTATCAGATCAAGTGTATATCCATAACGCTGCCGTCAACGAAAGGAGATCCTGGCGCAACATTCAAAGATGATCTGGACGCCGCGCAAAATGCGATAGTCAGCGAAATCACACAAGGCCACAACGTCGTCATCATCGCGCACTCGTACGGTGGAATAGTCGGCAGCAGTGCCGTGAAAGGCTTCACACGACTTCACGCCCAGGACTCGGAGCACAAATCATCAGGATACGTGATGGGCATCGTGCTCATCGCGTCTGGCTTCGCTTTGACAGGCCTCTCGTTCATGGACCCGCTCTTCGGCATCCCACCTCCTCAATGGCGCGTCAACAAATCCACTGGATTCGCTGAAATCGTCAAATCGCCCCGTGAAGTCTTCTACCACGATCTGCCCGCTGACGAGGCGAACTACTGGGTCTCGCAACTCACGCCGCAAAGTCTCAAAGCGCTTTTTGAAGGTGGCGGACATACATATTCAGGCTGGTTGGATGTACCGGCTTGGTACATAGGGACTTTGGAGGATCGTGGGTTGCCGGTGCTTTTGCAGCGCATGCAGGTTGGCATGGCGAGGGAGATGGGCGGTGCGGTCGAGCATAGGGAAATGCGGACTAGTCATTCGCCGTTTTTGAGCCTCCCGGATGAGGTGGTCGGGATTCTGAGGGAAGCAATTGCGGCATTCGTGGGACGGTCGGTAGGGCGGCGCACGTCTGATGCGGTAATCAGGGCGAATGTAGTAGTGCCGACGGTCAGGATCTTGCAGCCTTTCACGTGGTTAAAGTTTGGGCTGCCGCTTGCATTTGGTCGCGTACTTGGAAGAGGTTAGTTAACATTCCATTGGTTCAGGGCATTGTGGGTGAGTGGTTGTAAATGAAGTTTCTCACTTCGAGTGCGGACTTCTGCCACAAGCTTCCTCTCGGGTCGACAGCGCTCTCGTGAGGCACAGACTCACACATTTTGCAGACCGCTGAAGTGGCGCATACTTGTTTGATTACTCACTGTAAGGTGCTATGGCGTATGCTCAAAGAGGCTGTCGACCAATCCATAGAACGTAATGATAAGTTTGCTGACTTCATCTTCAAGGTGCAAAAGCTGCCTGGCTGTGATAACGTACCCAGAGGCTTACCGCAGTGTCGCGAAGATTAGACTGAATTTGGTAACACGAGTAGGAAGCCTGTGGAACCATTGTTAGGAAACAGGTCTGATCGACTCGGTAAAGCTGGCTCTGGAACGCGATAGACGTACAAGTTCGCACTGTGTGGGGAAATACATTTACGCGATGCTGAAGCGCACTATGAGCTCGTAGACGAAGCAAACTGGCCGGTAACACGCAATTGTGAACGCGAGCACATCAGCATCAGAGTAGTGAGCGACGAGGTAGCTTTTGCTGCCTATAGCTCTAGCTTACTATGGAGCGCATGTATCAGACTTAGGGCAAATTGGACTAGGATTATGACTGCCGGTACGAGTTGGTTGAAACAGTGCTTTGAACTGCGGTGGTGATGATGACAGCACTTATATTAGTGAAGTCTGCGAGGAATATTGCAGAAGAATGCGCAGATAATATGCAGAGGAATGATGGAGAATCATAAATGATATCGTAATGCAGGAGGCAACTGTCGTGCGAAAGAGAACCATCACGAACTAACGCTCGTCTGTTGCATTAAAACCACATTGGCATGATTTTTGCCCTTTGAAGGTTGCAGATCTGCCAATAGTCCACGGGCAAGCTTCATCGCAGTTTGCGGTTCAAATTGGGGTAAGTGCCAACGTCCACCCTTCATGCGTCTCTTCGCCCCGAGCTACTCGACATGCCGTCTTGTTTGAGTGCAACTTTCAGGATCCTTGCATCGTATGCATGCGCTACTTTACTTCGAGGCGGCGGCACATCTAGCCAACGCGCAAGGCTGGAATAGCTCAACGTCAACAGCAAAGATAAGTGTGCGAATGAGGTCGGACGAAATACAGCAACGGCTCGAGCATACTTCCTGACTGATCTTAGCTCGATGCTTGGGAGCTTATTCCAAGATGGCGGTGAGTCGTGATCGATGGTCAATGTGAAGCAGGAACGTGAAAGCTTGGGCGTTGTTGTCTGTTCGACATATCCGTTGGCAGGCACCATTCACAAATGCACGTCGGCTGCAAGCTTCCAAATTGACCAATCCGTCTTGAGGCAATTGAAGAACCAACATTTTTTACGATCCAAAAGAGGTTTACTGCCTCTATGGGAGCAGTATTTCTTTCCGCGGTCATTAACCGGGTCGGGCGGGAGCTAACCGTCGCGCCACCAACTCAAACAACGCAAGGCGCCCGGCAGGAAGCCGCGGCCCAAGGAGCCACAGAGCCTACGGGATTCCGCACTGCCTACGAAGTACCTTCACCTTTCTGCGCATACGTGCAGGGAACTAGAATATTGAGATATCGAGACCAGACGCAACATGTAGAGGCAAATATTTAGAACATGACGCAGAATCCGCAGGTCGTCACCAAGAACAGGTAACAGAATATTCCGCGGAGCATCCATGATGCCCGGTATCCACGGGTTCCATGATCCTCAATTGGACAGCGCTACGGCCCGTGTAGGGCAATAACACAACGCGTGCCCGAAAAAGACCATACCATATCGAATCAGGAGGATCATGCCAATCCTCGATTTGTCGCGCGAGGGAACATTGACCTTCCATTAACGGTACAGTGTAGGTAGTACTACAGTCGAGGTATACGCTAAGGTCTTGGACCTCAGCTAACTCTCACACTACACCACGTTGATGCCAATCTAGACTACGACTCAACTCTAGGGCCCCCAGATCTATTCAGGCGCCCATCTACACAGCGACGTCTTGCTCGGTCAGCGCGGATTCGCAGTTAGGGTTGGACCTGCGAACTCGTTAGTGCAAGGCTTCATGTGTGGACGAGAACCCATCCTTCGGAAGCACGTAGGAGAAGGGCGCGTAGGGAATGAGGTATAAAAGGGTGTGTGAAGCCGACCTACTTTCTTGTATCACTGCACACTTCACTCTTTCTCTGCACCACTCCAGCCCTCGCACCGCTCCAACAGTCTCCAAGATGTACTTCTCTTCCATCGCTACCTCTATGCTCTTCGCTACCGCTGTCTCCGCGAGCCCTCTCCTCGAGCAGCGCAAAGCACACCCTGAAGTCATTCCCGGCCCGGGGCTACCATCTCTCGCCTCGCTGGGCTTGACCACCGCTCAGCTCTATGAAACCCCAGTGCCAGGTGGTATGCTTGAACCATCTTCTGGCTTCTTGGGCACGATCTAACGGGCTACAGCCGAATTCTCCGCTCAATTTGACCTCAAGTGCGGCCCAAACAACCGCGCATACGTACGTCCCTTTCGACCCACGCACCTTACGATTTGCTGATCTTTCAATCTGATAGGGACCTGTCAACGACGTCATTGCGTGCTACAACTACCTCAGGAACCTTGGTGGTCGCGCATGCCAGGTTCCCGGCAACAGCGTGCTTATTACGTTTTGCACCGCCGGAAATGGCAAAGCGACTGGACAAGGCCTTAACAGCAACGCTCAGAGCAGTGCTTGCTCTGATGTAGCAGGAGGCCTTCTTCAAGTCATCAACGGCTGTACTCGTTCGGACCAGGTATGTTTAAGATGCAGAGGGCTTATATCTTAATGACTAACGACGTGGATATAGACGGTCGCTGGGTTCCAGGCAGCGAATGGAAACGGAAACCTAATTGTTGGAGGCGTGAACAGGAACTACTAATATAGAACCATTAAGTAGCTAGCAGACGTGTAGATAGAACTAGCAATTGCAGAGAAAGCCGAATACAATAGCAATGCCTTAAATTATTAAACCTACCTAATATAAGATAAGATTTTAGGCCTAATTTTCGCTGAAACTTGCTTAGCGTTAGAGTTTCTTACTTTTTATAAGAAAATTCTTACTTCTAAAACCTGCTTTATCTACTCTCTAAAACCTATAACTTTCTTATTATAATTTATTAACTTAATATAGTAACTTTATTATAAAATGCTATTTCTATTAGCTACTAGAGTTATAGTATCTAGTTTCTAGCTAATAGAATATATTAAGAAGAGCCTATCTTTAATAGGCGATAGAATAAAGATTAGAATAGGCTTTATTCTATAAACTACGTAGAGTTAGCTTTAGCTACTAATTTTGTAAACTATATTTTATAACTATATTTTATACTCTAGTTAATCTTACTATCGTAATACAGCAATAGCTCCTTCTACTTATATTAAGCAATTCTTCTATATATAAGTCTCTATAACGTATTTTATAACTAAAGCGCATATCTAACTAAGTTACGTACTTTACTCTACTAAAATGTCTGCGCAGCAACGTAGCGTAACACTATAATAAATTTATATACTATAAATATAAATATATTATTTATTAGAAGCGTCGCTATCTTCTATATCCTCTATCTCTACTTTATAGATATAGGCATTATATCTAGTCTTACTATAAGTGCTGTAGCATCTCTCTACGCGTACTCTCTTTAATAGTCTATTACTATTATTATAATAGTTCTCTACTATTATAGTAATTAAGTCTAATATCTTACTAACTATTAAGATCTTCTCTACTTATATATATTATTATTTATGCGCCTTATACTTTATTATTACTTCTATAGTATCTTAAAAGTAGATTATTTCTTCTTATACTAATACTATATTATGCGCTATCTACTAAGCGCCTTTAGTTAGCTACGTAATCTTTTTATCTATTAATCTTACTATAGAACTTATATAGTTTTATACTCTCTATTAAATAAGTGTACTCTACGCCTCTATCTTATAAGCATTATATAGTATCTTTATCTGCTAAGTACTATTCTTAATAGTTATTAATAGTAGAGTATAGAGGTATACGTTAAGCTTTAATAATACTATCTCTAAGCTATATAGAACTAGTCTAGCGCCTTAAAACTCTGCATAAACGTTCTCTACTATAAATATCTTCTTAAAAGTAGCTTTAAAGGTTAGTAGAAAAGTTTCTTTATTAATATAGTAGATGCAACTATATACTAAGGCTAAGATACTATTACTATATATACGCTTTAATAGCAAGAAATATATAATATTAAGTAGCTATAAAAGGTATAATAAGTGCATAGGTATATAGAGAGTAATAATCTTCTTCTTCTTATAGCATTTCTAGAATTCTACTACGTAATAGCTCTTATAGCTATTAATAATAAATAGCTTATATACTCTAATAGAACGTATATAAGAGTTAAAGTATTTAAGCTAAGTAAGTGCTAGATTATTATTTATCTAGCTAGTAGAGCTAACTTAGATAACCTAGTTATATAGAAGGTTATAGAACTAGTTTAAAATAAGAACTTTACCTATAAAGATAAGAAAGAGTAGAATTACTTTCTCTATTACGCTAATGCCTTATACTAGTATAATCTACTTATAATTACTAAGCTAGAGCTTCTTTGCCTTTCTAGGCTTCTCTAAACTTATTACTATAAGCTAAGAGAATATCTTACCTATTAAGAAGCTAGACTTATTAAAGTTATATATATTCTTATCTATAACTCTATACTTCTTCTTTATATCTTAAACTAGTATAAACTAAGGCTAGATAACTGCTAAGTTCTTATAAGCAGCTTACTAGTAATTATATAGATAGCTCTAGCGCTTATATAGCTTAGAAGTATACTTAATAAAGTTATTAACCTAGTTCTTACTAATAAGCTTACTAGCGCGCTCTCTAAGTAGTCTATTAGCTATATCTTATATATTAGCCTTTAAGATAAGCAGACTACGTATAGAATACTTAAGTATATACTCTATAATTATCTTCTCTTCTAGTTTCGTTAGATACTTTATATTTAGTTTATAGTTATATTAAGAACGCTTTCTATTATAATAGTCTTAGATAGTTATTTTAGAGACGTTATAGATAGCTATAGCGCATCTAATACTCTAAATTTACTAATTTTATATATTAAGAATAGTAATCTATATATCTGCTTTAGTATAGGAATTTTAAGCCTAGCATTATTAAGATATTATGCATTACTACTATGCAGGCATTTTAGTAAGATAAAGTACGTAACTTAGTTAGATATATACTTTAGTTATAAAATATATTATTAAATATTAAAAACTCTATAATCTAATATCTTATAGATATACTGCTAATAAGCTGCTTTGCTTAGCGCCTATAGTAGTAGATACTTGCAAAAAAGTAGCTATATTAAATATATTACTCTTAGAATTATTACTATCTACTTAATGCTTACTAGCTTCTATAACTATTTAAGAAACTTCTACTTATGCTTACGTAGCTACTATCTCTGCTCTTAAGTCTACCTGCATTTCTAGTAGAAATGTAGAGCTTAGCTAATTAGAATAGGCCTTAGTAAGGCGCTATGTTATAGAAATACGTTATAGAAATAAATAACCTTCTAGAGAGAAATAATATATTTCTAAGAGGCTATATTCTATAGAAAGGTGTGCTAAGCTTAGATCTGCACTTAGAATTATAATAGCATTAAAATTCGTTATAATGTAGGCATTTAAAGTTAGAGAGTTTACTTTAGTAAGAAACTTTAAAACTTAAGCTACTACTCTAGGCCTGCTAGCGCTAACGTGCTAATACTCTGCTTCTTAGCTTAGTAAGCTCTAGCTATAATTATAATATCTATTACTTTATTTAACACTAGCTAATATTCTTAATTACTTACTCTCTTCTTAAGACAGCTTATATTTAATAATATTTTAAGTATTTAATTCTAATTCTTTATTGCCTATATAATTACTATATATAATTATGCAGGCTTAAGAAGACTCTACCTTATTACTATAATTTACTAGCGCTTACGCGCTACTTTACTACTTCTCTAAATTTAGCATAATTATTTATATCTAGTATAAAGGCATAAGAAACTAGAAAGTCTATCTAAACTGCAGTTATTTAGTACTACCTAAGATCTATAACTAAGTTAGCAGAGAGAAAGGCTTCTTAGAACTGCTAGTATTATAGATTATAAGTCCTTATAATATTACCTACTTTACTTATAGTAGAGAACTAATTATACTTCTAAGAGACTTAATTTATGCATAGTAATATAAAGAGCAGCGCTATAGCTATATTAGTACTAACTAAAGAACTATAGCCTAATACTATAATAAAGAGCACTAATAGCAAAGCTTACTAGTAGCAAGAGAGCATTAGCAGAGAGTAAAAGTCTAGACGCTCTTTAGAACTAGTAGCTATTAGCGCTATTTTACTATAGTAATACCTAGTTTAGGCACTCTAGACTCTAATTATATAGAGACTATTAAAAACGTATTCTTAAATTCTAAGACAACTACTATCTTAGCTAAATACTAGAATGCTTAGTAATAATAACTTAATACGTATAATATTGCTAAAGCTATTATTCTTAGAATAGATTAAACTAGCTAGTTTACTAGGAATAGCTAGTAAGAACACCTTAGAAAATATAACCTAAAATAACTTTACTAGGTAAGCTAGCTACCTAATCGCTATAATACTTTATTATAATAGGTAGTTAGAGTAGTAGACTTAGCTATAGAGCAGAGAGTAGCTAGTCTTTCTACCTTACCTCTAGAGACCTACTGCTAGTTAAGAAGCTCTAAGAAGATAGAGATTAAGACCTAGCCTATAGAATGCCTTTAGAATAAGGTATTCTAATAGCATTATACTAGATATCTAAAGCGCTTTACCTGCTACTACCTTAGAGTTATATAGATAATCTATAAGAAAGAAATTACTAGTAATACTTAAATGCCTATAGCTGCTATATAGAACCTACTAAGCTCTTTCTCTAGCTCTAATTTAAGTATAAATACTTTAACTTAGCTAATAATATATTAATATCTACTGCATAACGCTATAGCTTTATTTTCTTAGTAAGAGAATTAACTAGAGCTTATAATAAGCTTTATTTAATCTCTAAATCTTAATAATAAGAGCACTTAAATTTAGAAGCTTATTAAGCTACTAGAAGCTTTTATTTTCTAGCATATTAGCAGCAACTAGTTTGGTCTAGTAGGCTTATTTATTTTCTAGCTATCTTAGGTATTAACTTATATACCTACTAATTGCAGCGCGCTAAAGATTATTTAGGTATACTAGTAAGTATAGTATACTGCCTTAGAGTAATTATAGTAGAAGCTATTCTACTATCTGCTATCTAGAAGTAATAAGGCTAGATAGAGCAAGAATTCTTTTACTAATAACGTAAGAATTACCTTATTAATAGTTTATATAGCCTATTTAGTATTATAATTAGCCTCTTAGCTTATGCTAAATATATTATATTTAATAAAAGTAATAAGGCTAATACTCTATAGTCTTAAGATTATACTATTCTCTATTTTTATAGCTAGCCTCTTATTATTAAGCGTTTTAAGAGCATAGTATTAGGTCTAAGATAGAGGCTAGATAAAATAATCTCTAGAAAGATCTTATATTTATTTCTCTTGCAGTAAACTACTTTAGTCTCTCTATTATAACTATTTAGGATAATATTTGCTGCAAAGTTAGAGAGTACTTCTTTCTTACTAATAAAGCAAATAATCTTAGTAATAGCTTTAAATAGACTCTTAACTAACTTCTTACTAGCTCTACTAGCTAATAAATATAAGCTTAAGAGATATAGATATACTTAGCTATTTGCAAATTTATTAAGCGAATTAACTCTTTTTTAGAGCTTCTCTTTCTATTAGTATATATAACTAGTAGCTAAC